TAGAATTTTTTTTAAAAAACTATAAAAATATAATAGATGAGCGAAGTCAGAAATGTATTATTGATTTTACTATGGTGTGTTTTTTCTTTTCTGTAAACAATTACTTGTCTATCAGAAATCTTTCTCTAATCCAAAGCTTTATAGCAACTTCCTTGTAGCATTTTTGATATATTTGATACATTAAGGTCATTTTTTGATTTTCTTTTTAGTTTTTTTTATAAACGGGAAAAAGTGGCGATTTTATGTATTATATTTGTTGATTACTAGGTTATATCGGTAACAATAAAAAAAAAATAAGACTAATAATAGGTACTCTGCTCAAAATGCCAACAATTTTTCCCTGATTTTCAAATATAGTACTTTTTTCTAAAAGGAAATTTGACTCAGATGGTACTTTAAGAAGTTAATTTTTTTGATTTTCCCGACTTTTTTATAATAAATGGGAAAAACGGGGAAAAATCTTAGGAAAACTGGACAATTTACGATAAATATTATGTTTTCAATTTTTGTTTTTTATTTTGTTTTGATTCAGCTAAAATTATTTGTAACGACTTGAAGTTTGGACAGAAAACTTATATTTGCCTTTGATAAACGTGGTAAAATTTTTAAAACGTTGTTACCATGTTTGAGCTATTTATGGACATTTTGATTTTTCGGGTTTTGTTTACGTATTTTTGTTCAGTAAATACTATATGGATAAAAATGTTAGATCAAACAGAAATGCTAGTAAATTTAACAGGAAGTTCATTATAACACGTACTTAGTTGGTAAAAAAAAAATAATTAAGTGTATTGTAAAATGTTTTTTTATAAGAACTTGAATATCAATGTTTGAAAGGAACACTATTAACCGAACTCCACTCAGAATCGTTTTTCGTTAGCAACGGTTAATCTCGTTGCGTACAGATATACATTAAATTTCCCCTCTACCTTCCCAACTTCTCACCTATATCAGTGGCCCACCCATTGTACGAAGTATGTCGGTCATTTTTTTTTTTTTTTAATTTGTATTTGTCTTGAAATATCGCTGAACAGTTATTTTGTTATCGATTTAACACACCTTTAAATTATTAGTAAATGTTTATAACGCGTCCTTAAGATACTTTTTCTGCGGGTTCTCGCCGTCACTTATTGCGCGATTATTGTCGAACGATTTTTTCGGGTTCGGGTAACGCGCTACGGATTACCGAACGCCACACCAACTTCGGCATTACTGTAGACCGCCGGCTATAGTGCAGCGGCAGAAAATGGAAACAAAAAAAAAAAAAAAAGCGAAAAGCTAAACAACGAGGAGAAGAGCCCGCAGTATTATTATTACGATAACGACGACAAATATTATTTATCTCGGTTAACCTGTGACTTCGTCTCGGGTCCGAAAATTACATCTAATCGACCACACCGCAGCAGTGTTGTAGTATACACGCGTGCTCACATGTGTAACCGTTTCGAGAGTGCATTATAATATAATATTATATACGTATTATATTAGTATAGGTACCCTACGGCCATCCCCGAGGCGGCCGTCGTGATGTATGCATATAGCTGGCGTACCTGCTACGCGTCTAAATATAATATATTAAAAAACATTTTATATACATGTATAAACACGTAATAATGACACGACGTGTGAAAAAATCATTAACAATTATCACATACAGAGCGATCGACATACCGTAAGACACTCGTTATCTCGGAGAGCATTAAATTATTTCGAGATTTGATTTTCAGGGCGTTTGAGAAAATAATAGTAACTCTGCTAAAACCTTGCATTGCGGTTATTGTTTCTCGCCCCTATTTTAACAGGTGAAACCACTATGTCTATACGTTTGATTTTCAAACGACAACCTTTCAACGACATTCCATAAATAGACGGAGTATTAGTTTAAACACATTTCGGTGTTGACATTTTTGCTTTCCGTCAACCCATTGACGACGAGATATTCCACTTTTGCGTTTAGATAAGGGGAGAGTGGTGGAACACAATGTTAAAACGCCGCTACACAATTAATAATGCTGCACTGCTTTACTCTCTACCTGCCAACGCCGAAACTTGGAAGTAGTTAAATCAAAAATTCAACATCAAAATTGATTCAAACAAATTCATCCATAACATCTATTTGTGATATTTTTCATGATTTTTAAAATCAAAAGTGAATAGTGGGTTCAGTCCGTATAACTAATAAGGGTGACAAACAAAACAGAACCGTTTTAGAGCTACTTATTGTTTCTTAAATGTTGACGAAAAACGAATTCCGAAAAAAGTTAATACTTTCCGAGATAATGGCCATTACGAATAATTGTACACTGATTTACTCGGCGTTTAGCAACGGACGTTAATATTATTCCTTATTTCCCCCCCCCCCTCGCAGCCTTACGCGCAAAGGAACCGTTGCTTACGTAGTTATACAATTTTAACCGACGCGTCTTGATACAACCGTAATTATAATAACATTAACACAATATATTGCTGTTGCATCGTGCAGTAATAACTAAATATACCTTTATTGGTTTAACCTCGATTATCGTTTTTTTTTTTTTTTCGTATATCCCTGACAGAACACCTACGACTGCATTCCGCTCTTGCAATACACCGCGAACGGCATTGGTGGGTACACATACGCTGCATCTATAACGGAAACGATATTATTATTATCATTTTAAAATACATCGTACCTGCTCGCGTAAACATCCGTATGTTACACATCATAGTTAACAAAACAGTTTACGTCCGCGCGTTTATTGGTTCTGGAATGACAGAATCGATGTTAACTTCCGTACGCGTCTTAATAAGTTCCTATATATGAGCGAATCAGGGGCGTCATAGGGGGGGGAAAGAAAAGTGTGAGGTTTCACCCCTTATTTTTAAAATAGTCATAATTGAACTGTCGAAATAACGCACCGTTTTTTTATACATTTAAAATTAAATTATACTTTTATATTATATAACGGCGGTATTGATATTTTACTGTCGATAAACAAACATCGCGTTATCAATTATAATTGAGTAAACAATAAACGAATCACATATTTTACCAGATACCTACGGAATACAGGTATAGATAAGGAACCACACGGTCAAAAGTTGGATAACTTCGCTGTTGAACGGTTAACGATCGCTTTTAAGAGCACATTGACAATTATTCCGTTAATAAAACTTTACCGATTACAATAGCATCAAATGAAAGATTTTTTTTTCATCGCTTAAAAATTTACAATCATATTTACGCACTTCCAATGGCGATGATTAAAGGCTAAACGATCTTATGGTGCTAAATGTCGAAATAGAACTACAAGTTAATAATATCGATTAAATAAAATTGTATGTATATTTACTGAATTTAAAAATTGCCGGCACCTTCTTACATAAGTACAATTCATTTTAGATTCTGAGTGTAGCGAAAAAGCTTATGGCTTTACAAAGATGTTTTTTTTTTCTGTGAACAACTTTTCTACCAGAGGACTAGCTCCGATTTTTACGTGTAGCATCTTTTCTGAAAGAAAATCGGTGTGGGTCGATTTTCTTCGGAGTTTTCTCAATAAATGGGAAAAATTGAAAAAAACGGGAAAATGTAAGAAATTTGGGTATTAGCTAAAAATATTATGGACTTCTTTTTTCCTGTAGACAACTTTTCTAATAGCAATTTTGCTCCGATTTACAACGCGGTATGTCTCGTCGCTCGGGCAACTGCGTGTATAATAATAATTTATTGCACGCAGTCCAGGTGTTGTATACGATTAATTATGACAAAACGCGAACGGTTATGGTGTTGACGTTTATTTACATTCTCCTACGTTTTGTCAAACCCAGACAAATACGGCGAGAGCCACCGGTAAACCAAGAAAAATAGTATTTCCAAAATATTCCGAAATAGTAGGTATTCTGAATTTTCGAAAAATACAATCTGAAAAAACCTAATCGCTACGGGTATGCCACTGATGCGGTAGAGTATGTGGGGACAAAGTTTATCAGTGTTAACCTGCAAGCCAACGTCCGCGTTACTAGGCCGTGATTTCGGCCGGGATCCCTCAGTCGTATTTGTGTATCCCCAGACACCTCAGACCACCACACATTCGAAAAAATCGATTTCACGTCGAAAGGGGTTTATCCGGAATGCCGATTATATGTCTGCTATTTTCCGACCCACGAATAGGAGATCACCGTCCCGGCCCTTGCGGCGGAACACGCGTGATCGATCTAGGAGAGACGGCCCTCCCGACGTCAAGAACTCGCCGAAACACCGACCGTCCCGTGGTCCGTGGAAGAAACGCCGCCATCGACATCATCGCCCGGGTGACGATCTGTACTCCGGGCTACGAAAAACACCGAGACCGACCGGTATACGATCCTCTTCGTAGCCCGAGAAGACGCCGTCCGCACCGCGGTCAGCTCTTCGCCGGCCTACGCAGTGAGGATCGCTTCTTGGGTACCGGCCAGAAGAACATTGACCAGTCACCGCAGAGGAGATTCAAATCAGCCCTTTCAACAAATTTTTTTTTTTTAATATGTTATTTATGTTGTTATTTTTTTTTCAATTGTTAATTATTAATAAATTATTCATCAATGTAAACGTTTTTTTTCAATCAAGGAAGTACCTATAGGTACTACTGCCGCCAGTAAAAGAAGTGCATGGATGAGGGCATTAAAGACGAAGGTTTATATTATTATTTTTCCGAGAAACAGTCAACACTGGAAATCATTTTGACAGCAGCTGCTGTGCGAAACATTCTCGTTAAAAATAACAACGCATTACCTTTGTTTTAATTTTATTACATTTTAGTGTATATTCTGCATTTTACAAACGTGTTTCAATGACCAAAACCTTTAATATGAACACGTGACTCATAAATTATTTGGTTTTACAATATTGACTAAAGTGTGCCGTTCTTTTATACATTAGAAATTAGAAGCAATCTCGGCATTGACAATTATTTGACGATCTCTTGTACTAACGAGTTTTTATTTTTAAATATTACCAATCTAATAAAAGAAAAACAATAACAATGGACATAATTAACCGACCAGATTCACCTCAGGATTCGTTACTTCGCATTCTAGATTATACAGAGGTGATAAAAATATTTAGAATAATATTTCCGATATTAAACGATGACGTGATCGAAGCCGTGTTGAGCTGTAACAAGGGAGACGTTATCCTAACAGTGGACCAGTTGTTAACGATGAGTAGTGAATTTCAGACCGATTTGGCAAAGAGAGATTTGATGTCATGCGATGATGAGAGCGGTTTGCTAGACGCCAAACCATTTTAACATAAATTCTTCGATTCAATGTAAATATTTGATTGCAGTATTAAATGTATTCATTAATGGGGGTTGTCAACATTTTTCAAATTCATTTTTCCCTAATTCTATAGTGTTGTCTCATTGAAAAAATTAGCTTTTTTTTATTTTACTGAATTTTTTGGGAGGGCTTTGGATGTTAACGTTTGAAATTCAAAAAGAACTTATATTAAAAATTCCATAAATAAATTGAGTAATATTTAAAATAAATTTTAGTGTTAAATTTTTTGATTACCTACAAAATGTTGACAAGATATTCAACTTTATAATTTAGGTAGGGGGGTTGTTTGTTCTTGTAGTGGCTCGGCACGACGCGCGGCGTTTGAATAGTGATCCACAATTTTCCCTCTGCCTAAACCTCTCCCAAAAAAATTCAGTAAAATAAAAAAATTTACAAATTATATCGGATATTTATAAATAAAGAAACTTTTGCACAAAACATTTTTCCCTGTTTTGAATATTTATAGGGAAAAATTGCTGTAACATAAAATTCTAATCACCCTGTATAGTATATACATTATATATATATAATATAAAATATTCATACGGATTATAGATTAAATAATGTTTGTACATTAATAATTTTAATAATACACTTTAATATTAATGTATTAAAAAAAAAGACATAAATAATTTACCGGATAATGTACATGATATATCAATGGTTAAAACGTAAAATATGATGAAGGAAATCCTAAATATTTTGCTGGCAAATTATAAAGTTCGAAAATTTACAGATAGGTGTTGTCAGCGATACACAAAATTTAAAAAATCAAATTTTAAAGGGGGTGGGCGATCCACCTATCGCTCCTCCTCCCCTTTTAACTAACCGCCACTGATCTAACCTCCTTCAAGCTCTTGATGAGTCTCGTTTTAAAATAGAAAATTTTTAGCGTTCGGGTGTACAGGTGTTATTTTTCCATACAAACAGTTAACAAAATATCACTATTGAAGTGTCTAAATGAAAACGATACGACATTGAAACCGATACAGGTATACTATTATTGGTTATCTGATTCGATTTCTGCGGTCGCCCGCATTATATAGCTTCCAACAGAACGTACCTACCTATTATTAAACGATCGAAAAATCCTCCTGAAATCGATAATTATTGCGATAGCAAAAGTAAAACTAACATCGCCTTATATTATTATTGAGCGGCTGCAGCCGAAATAATACGATAATATACTCGCGCTCACGAACTGTTGCTACTGACGGGGCGTGCACTTCTATAACATGTATACATTATAGATTTTGCCACTACACTAAAAAACAGACCCTGTCAAAATGATAATAGTTTTGCTACACGAGGTATCAAGTAAGTACACATTATTATTATTATTATTATTGTGATACGACTCGACGCGGAGTGAGAAAAAAAAAACTATAATACACGATATAATACGTTCGTATAATATATAAGGACGTTACGCGTGTATCACAGCACTTCAATGATACGATATACAAATAATGCACGCATGATTTTAATTTTTTTTTTACCGAAAAAAAAAATCGTAAAAACAAATAATTACATTTTAACCTTCACGGTGTATCCCGCGTATAATACGCGTGTGTTGTACATATTGGTACTCACCAATAAAATCCGTTTGAAAAATATTTTTTATTTTTCCTCTCTCCTCACGCGGTGAATATAATACAATATTGTAGCTTTGCGCGATATATATACGAGCAATAATACAACAAAATAATATACAATATAATAATACGGCTAGAACGTATTTTTTTTTTATTTTTTTTACTTTATTTTTTTCCGCCGCCTATATAGTGTATACAATATAATAATCATATTATTTTGTATTATATTCCGTATAGGTATACACACAATAAGACGTGATGTATGTACAATACATTATACTGCTAATATTATGTAAAAAGATAAATAAATATTAAAAAAAAAAAACAAAAAAAACGTTACCCCTACGCCGTCATATCATACACGACACGACAGCGACGGATACGCATAATATAATATTATGTACAGAACGATCCGGCGATTTTCCCGGAGAATTTGCAGTAAATTTTATTTCGGTTTTTTCCGAAATTATTATTATTATAATATTATATGATGTAACGCTATACATTTTCAAATTTAAACGTCAAAAAGACGGGCATATGTACTTCGCACGGTGGGTGGGCCACTCGGAAACGTGATTACAGGGGGGATCCTATCCCCCCCAGACCTTATTTTTTTAAAGACTCGGAACTACATTTATGTTCATATTTAACTATAAATATCACTATATTTTATAGAAATAATAAAAAAAGAGAAACCCCGAATCCCTAATTATGCTAGCTGTACATAAATACTTCGTAATCAACGCAGGTGTATACTGCCCTGTCAAAGTGAAAGGTAGTAACCGACAATTTTTCATAAATGAGATTATTATAGAACTGGTACCTATTGTTTATTAGGCCATTTTAGTATTTTACATAGATTTGTCTAGGTTAAAATGCAGTAAAAAATCATTTAGACCCGCTGTATGAGCTATACATAATATGCAGTATCTACCAAAATATCACCGAATACTAGACAAATAATCATTAAATGATATATTCTAGAAAAACACGCAGTATAGTATGTTGTGTATTTACTGCTTATAGGAACGTTTAGTAAATTTATTTAGCGGAATACACACTGCGTATGTATCTGGTAACCTTAGATAATCGGACCAACAGTAAGCAGTATCTACATTTTTTTAATTGAATGTCAGTATTTTAAATTCTTTTAAAATTAATTTTACAATTTTTAATTCCAAAAATTAAACATATTTCAATGATTTTGTTTCTATCTTTGATTAGTCGAAATTAGTTATTTTTTATACATTTTTTTTAAAAAATCGGAAATAGGTACTATTGATATTCAAATAGTATGTAACACACAGACTTTACAAGAAACAGAAGTTATAACCCATTAATCATATCAGTTCATAGTTTGTTTGCTAATCATAACTAATTAGGTTCTTAAGAGTGAAACATAATTTTTAAAGAAAAGTGATTTTTTATTAATTAAATACTTAGGTAGTTAAACTATGATGTTTATAAATTCGGAACGATTTCTTGAAGTAAAGAGTTACAAATAATCATCCAAAACACGATTGAATAATATCGCTAACAAGCGAAAAAATTCAATAAGAAGAAAAACCCATTTGCCAAAATTTGCATTTCTGTAGATACTGTCTTTCACTATGGCAGGGTAGCATGGGTCACTATTGCAATATTGCACAAATATACTTATATATTGCATTATGGTAATGGTACAAAAATAAATCAACGAGCGGTCAAGTGTTATTTTATCACGGATCGACCACGCTCATCTGATTATTTTATCTAGATTAATAAAAACTATGGGAATAGTATAAGCATTATCACATGCGTAGGTACATAGGTACATTGATTGTACTAAAAGGTGATTATGATGAGTACAATTTTTTTTTTTTTTTTTTTGAAGGGGGGCGATAGGAAAAATATAAAAGCATTTCATCCCCCCCCCCAACAAACATTACCAAATTACGCCACTGGGGCCACTGTTGTATGATGAAAAGTGTTACGGACTCTGGCCTTCACGTGTAAAGTTTGTTAATTATATAAATTGAGAATTCCACGGTACAAGATATGAAATCGGTCGTCGCATTAAGCATACGCACGTTAAGGCCATTAATACGGGTGTGGTAAACCGACGACGTTCCCATGCAACAACGGACGATACATGTTCATGGGCCAAAGGGAAAACGTGTCCGGGCACGGACGACGTGCCACCAGTAGACAACGGCGGCAGCGTCCACCACCGCCTAGGCCCCGATCGAGGCGACAACCGTATACAAGGAGACCGGAATCATCACCAAAGGGGAACTTGAACTCAGTCAAGAGTCAAGACGTGTACACCACCACCGACCGCACGAGAAGGAGGAGCACCGCCACCTCGACACCAACCCGTCCAGTCGTTTCTTTAGTGCATTTATACCAGACAATCACGACTAAGTCTTGGAACCCGGGGCCGGCGTCGCAGGTTTTTCACTTATAGATACAACTTGTCAACCGTGTATTGTTTCAATTCTAATAAAAAACCATTTGTATACCTAACGCACGTGTGCATCTTCCCATCAAAAGGCTGCGTCTGAACGGCCCGTAACAGAAGGAAGGATATATATAGGGGAATTAATTGTATATCTGTACGCTAGTTGCTACTTACTAATGAAAAACGATACTGAGCGGAGTCCGGTTATACGTGTTTTGAAAGGTCGTAATATTTACGATTTTTTTCAAAATTATATATTAAAATTCTTATTAAAAAAAAATTCAACAATACGCTCAGTTTTTTTACTAATAATAATACTGTCCTGTCGTACGTTGCAGTACGTGTCGAAAAATCAATTCCGCTCGACTCAAACCATCGTACGTACAAAATGGTCGTGTATCATTTTCGTTTTTCTATTACGATACGAGCATAATATCAGGGGTGGCCACAACGAGACTCGCGAGGCGCGAGGCCCATCGGTTCGTGAGGCTTTTGAAACCAAGAGTGAAAATAAGTAAACACAATTCCGTTACCGAATCGCTGGATAGTGTTTTTATCGACGTCGGTTTCGTTATCATTACAGGCGTTATTATTGATTGGCACGGCGGCGGTGGCGCTTTTCACTATGCGTAGCCCAAACTAGTCACGGTAGATCGAAACATCTATATTATTATATTATCAATGTACATTATTTATCCTCTCTGTGCATTCGAAGCCTCCACGACTCAAAATATCCCTGACGTATACACCGTTTATTATTTACCTATCCCAGGACCGGATCTGACGGATGACCTAAAATGCCCTCCCGAATTTTCGGACATCTATGTTAACCGATAGAAAACAATTGATCGACAAACGTTGCAGGTATGCGTGAAGGATTTCATAATCGAATCCAAAAGACCGTTTAACAAAGAATCTAAATGGTACTCACACCACGCTTGGTATAGATACGCATGCTGTCATTGCACATCGGAGTAAATTTTCGGTCGGATTTGTTTCCGATCAATTGTATTATATATTTTCGATTAATTGACCGGATACCTGCAATATTAGGGTTCCTTTTTTTTTTTTTTTTTTACACAATATTTATAATAATATATTATACATAAATAGGTGATATAATTATAGGGTAGAGAAAATCCTCCGAATATGATTTCCCCCGCACATATTGTCGTCTGAAAATTATAAAAAAAAAAAATAATTATACAAATGATTACGGTCCGAAAGCCGAATACCTAAATGTTTAAATTTGTAATTTTTGTTGAATAGTAAATTTAAAATTTTAGAGCCTGAGCGGAGCGATGAATGTTTATTTTCTTCTATATTTAATTGTAAAATCGCTTCGCTTTCTGCAAGACCACTTTAAAGTCATCCGTTGGTCGAACTGCCATCAACTACTCGTCTGTAAAAACTGTAAAGCAATCGATAACTTCTGTTTGGGCTTAAAAAGGGTAGGCCTACTGATATACGACAATAAGGTAATCAACTCGTACGTAACCCATAATAGCCGTGTAATCAATTAAACGGTATCGGTGCAGGTAAACAGGTACCTTGGAATCAACTGATACGCAGCCAATTTAAGAAGGCACGGTGATTAGTTCGTGTCACAATCTGATAACGATTTATATTTGTATTCCCGACGGTTTTATTAATCGTCAACGTCGCCGTCCGAACTAAACTAAAAATAAATTATAGAGACGATGTGTTTTGACTAGACGGACGGGCGATTAAATGCAATTTATATTTATATTTTGACAACTGTCCGTGATAGTAATGTTATAGTGTTCGAACGTATTTTGTCGATGTCTGGAACTCGTACAGATTATAAAAATGTACCCGCCTATTGTAATAGCTATACGTTCACTACCCGTTGTTACCCAAATAAATAAAATTGGAACCAAAAAATTGTCTTCCGGCAAATGTCGGTGGATACCGGTTCCGGTTTGGGTACATGAAGAAAATCAAAAAAAACGATTCCTGTTAAAATACCGGTATTGATAATTTCGGTTTCGAGTCTAGCAGTGTCCGTATATTTTAAAGATGAACAAATACCGAAAACACGTCACGAATCAAATGACGGACACAACAAGATGTGTAGATACTTACCCTATATATATACATATTATATAGAAACAGATATAACTAATATTGTATTGAAACGAAAGCGTTTTAACGCTGGCAATAAAATCCTTGAAGCATCAGCCGCAGTATCGAGTCGTTCGAATGTTTTATCGACCAGTTATTAATTTTTTTTTTCTCTTCAATGTACGAGGGTTAAAGACGAAATAATTATCTCGGAATGAGTGAAGTACTGTGATAAAAATCGAACACACAAATGTGCCACAACTAATATGCCTCGAAATATTCTTCGCCTCTTAGAACGGTTAAATCGACTATAAGTACTTGAACTTATTACTGTTTACGTTTGTTTAAGCAAAACGCACGAGGCGATCCCTCATTTGGACAGCGTGACGGGGTTTTTTTTTTTTTTTTTTTTAAAGATTTAATTTTTATTCTATTTCCAATGTATTAACTGGTTTACGCACAGTGCTGTTTTTATAATATTATCTATTGTATCGTATTGACCGGTTTTTTTTTTTTTTTTTTTAATTGGCGGGTTTTATTTTTATATATATTTCTAAGACTCGACCAATTCCCACATCCCTCCACCCTCTCCGCCTTGCACTCGCGCGTCATACAATATGTATACTCACAGATGAAGTTTTTGTCGAATAAGCATTGTAATAGACGGGTATATTATATTATGCATACAGGTACACCGCGCCGGATAACTTCCCGAGAGGATCTTTTTTCATCGTCAAATATTATATTGTATACGGCGAATAAATATAAATATTATACGACGGACAGCGATTGGTGACGAGTCAGACTGCAGTATATCGTGGACTATTTAGAACATGATATTATATAATAATAATAATAATAAAAAAAAAAACTCTCTTTGATGTAAATACGAAAATTGCACTTTTATTCGACGGTCACATTGCGAATCTCCCACATCCCACATACAGGCGGGCCTATAATAATAATAATAATAATATCTACAACAATCTAATCTACACAATTATATTGTACTATTTGAGTAAATAATAATGTAATAATTTATAATATAAATAAATATTTATTAGTTTTTTTTTTTTTTCAATATTTACACGAGTATATTGTTTAAGTATATAGTATAATGTATTATAATAATATAATATATAGGTGGGGTAACAGAGTACGTATAATAGTCGTTTAAAAATAATAATAATGATAATTATTATAATAATTATAAAACCGTAGATTTGATCTATGATAAAAACTAAAAAAAAAAAAAACAAATAATAATAATGAGTGTTCGCAGTTGTATAAAAATAACACGCGTTCAGTTCATATACTCGTAAAAAAAAAATGCATATTATTATTTTTAATTGCGAAAATACCTGCAATAATAATATAATAATGCATACGCATAATATTATATTGTAACCGCGTACAACTATAACTATAATAAAATTAATATTAAAACTACGTAATATAATATCTATACATATATAATATAAAATAGGCACGTTAAAAACTACATCACAGAATGACTAAAAACTACTGCATTTTTTTTTTCTTATTATTATTTTATTTTTTTTTACCACAATCAGTATTTACCGTAGGGTACTTTTTTTTTTTCTTTTTTTTTTCATCACTAATTCCGATACGCGTCATATTATTGCTGTTACGTTATATAGCTGACGCGGTCGCGTATACAAAATATTTCGGGAGTGGACGATGATCGAGATGGCTATAATATATAGTTACATTTTTGTACAGACCTTAAGAATACGAAAAAAAAAAAAAAAAAACAACAAACAAATATAATATAATTCCCGAACAAGTACACGTTCAAAAAACATACAATAATAATACTATAAAATGTATCGTAACGGTGCGTACATAACATTATACCGCAAACATCGAATGGAACTTACCTGTATATTAGTAATAATATTATATACTCGATATTCGTATACAGAGCGATTCTTTTATCGTAATTCATAATAATATTACACGGGTAATGAGGTACCGCGATCGATTAATAATAATAACAATTAATGCTACTCTCGTCCGGTCTAAATTCTATGTTATAGGTATAAGTTGTTATCTGCAGTCGTTAACCGCGGTAAATCCGACGTTATAACATTATGGTAATTATTGCGCGTATCGACATTTCGCGGGGAAATAATTATTTCCTCCCACCCACCGCCCCCGCGAATCGGGGCATTGCCGTTTGAACACACCGAAACGATGGCCAATGCGAAAGGGGAGTTTTTTTTTATTAAAATGTCGTTTAAACAGATTAAACGACCCAGTCGTAACAGTCGGGGACGAAAAGGTATAAGTGTAACGATGATTCGCGGATAAAAGAATCGCCTGATGCGGTGTACGCGTAGGAAAATCTACACGCGGATATCCGACGGCGCAAACAAGACGCGCGCGCGTACGAGATCATGACAAATAACAAAATCTACGGGGCCGGGCCGATTTCGAACCGGAAGAAGGAAAGAAAAAGAAAAGAACAAACCGACGGTACCATTAGAGACGCGATCGAACGCGTCCGATAAAATTTAACGGTTTTAACCGTCCGCAATATGATCAAATACACCGTTGCAAAGCAGATTAATATAATAACAAACTCAACGGTTTAGCCGTTTTTCCAGTGGTCGCTTTTACGTTTGCGAACATCCGGTTGTGCCCGAGTTCAAAACCGAACCATCGAATCTTGTAAGGGGGAGGGGGAGGGGCGCGTTTGTCTCGAGTATTTACAATCGGTTGTGTAACGTTATAATATACGCACGAGCACACGGATTCGCGACCTTTTTTTTTTTTTTTAATCTCTGGTGGTGGATTCGTTATAAAAATTACTCAAACACACATACGCGTACGCTATACGGCACGTTAGTGAGCCCCTAAGCCCTCCCCCGGCTACTATAGTGTCCGCGACGGCCGTTATAACCGCCGACGGGCCGCGAAACGTATGCAATTATTATTGTCGAACACCCGTACATGAAATTTCGCGTTCTTTTTAAGCTCTCAACGACAAATCTTTCTCTTTTTTTTTTTTTTTTATTTTAACCTCGACCGGGTCGATTATAATGCACCGTCCGTTTTTACTGCCGTAATAATAAATTACCGTTTCGGGATTTTCGCCGAAAACAACGACGACGACGACGACGATGACACAGTGGATGAATAACCGGTATATATACAACGCGGTTATCGTCGGTTTCAATCGGTACACAACCGGACGTCTGTGAAAAATTCTAATCGGCCCATCCCTGTGCGTATTTAATAATAATATCATATCGCGACTAAACGCGCGTGCGATATCGCGTGAGAACACGCTGTCGCGTATATTTAAAAAATTGTCACGGCATTCGCCGCTACAATAATCATACCGGGGTCCTAATTTGGCGCACTCGAATCGGGAAGAATCGCCGTTAAGCATACGGGTGGGAACTCGGTCGGCAATGTACAGTAGTAAATTGTATCGGAAACGGAAAAATCCGTTTCTAGCGGACTAAACGATTTCTCGCGGCTATGGAATATTACGATTATCGTAATCGTGCGCGAAACGGGCCGATAACCGACGCGAACAACATATTATCGGCCGGAATCGGCTCGTACCGCGTTACGCGAACCGAACAGTTTACTGAAAAATCTGCGGCGAGCGAATTATTATTGTGACCGGAGTGAAACAACCGAGTTATCCCCGCCCCTCCGTCCCAATTCGAGCGCCACACTAACAGCGTTACACACAATATCATTATGTCGTTATTTAATTACATCTAGTAGATAACACGTACCGACGCGCGCGACGAGAACCGACGGCGAGACGCGTCTTCATCAGTTGTGTGCAGGAAAATATGCGGACGCCGCCGCCGCGTACCGTAAATAGTTTTGCTGTTGTTGCTGGTGGTGATGCTGTTGCAACTGCAGATGATGGTGCAATTGTTGCTGTTGGTGATGGTGGTGGTGGTGGTGGTGATTGTTGTGGTGGTCTTGGAACGCGATTGCCGCCGCGGCGGCTTGATGAAACGCGTACGGCACCATCAACGGGGCCGTGTACGCGGCCGGCACGATGGACGGGAACCGACGCAAGATATCGTCGTCGTCCGTATCGTCGGCGGCCGTGGCGGTCGCGGCCGGCGCCTGCGAGGACGACCGCGGCGGTCGCGGCGACGTCCGCGGATCGGGTCCGATCAGACTCTCGATGTCGAACGGTCTCTTGACCGCCGGTTTGGTGGCGCACACCGCGTCCACGGCCGTCATGCCGTTCAGCAGCTGCTGGTGTTGCTGCTGCTGGAGGTCGTGATTCGGACGCCGCCGGTAGTGGTGCGGACGGTCGCGATGCTGGTGGTGATGAGGCGGCGGGCTGCCGGCCGCGGACGACGAACACGACGAAGACGCGGACGACGCGCCCGACGACAGCGACGACGAGTGTCGGACCGGCGAACACGTCGACGAAGCCCCGGCGGTCACCGACATGGCCGGATGGTTGCGCTGCATGTGCGCTAAATTATTGGCCAGTGCGATCAACTCGTTGTCCAATCTGCGCGGAGGACAAATATGAAAAAAAAATACCGTTATTATTATCTACCGTGTCCGCGAAACGAGAAAAGCGCGGTACAGGTGTAACACGCCCGTGTACGCCGCGATGTTATTATGGTTTACGTAAAATATCACACACGTTTTATCGTACCTGTCTTTGTCGGACTTGACCAGCTTGAACCGTTTGCGCCGCCGCAACAGCGACCCGTTTTCAAACATGTCCAGGGCGGCCGGGTGCAGGGCCCAGTAGGCGCCCTTGCCCGGTCTGTCGGGCATCCGCGGGATTTTCACGAAACAGTCGTTGAACGACAGGTTGTGCCGCAGCGAGTTCTGCCAGCGCTGCGTGTTCCGCCTGTAGTACGGGAACTGGTCGCTGATGAACTTGTAGATGTCGGACAGCGGCAGCATTTTCTCGGGCGAGCTCCATATGGCCATGGCCGTCAGCGATATGTAACTGTACGGCGGTTTTTGGTCGCCGTACGAGTCGCGACTCGGGCGCGGCATATTTTCGCGGGCGGGCGAGTTACGCGGGCCGCGGTCGGTTGTGAGCTGGTTTCCCCGATAATAGGAAAACCGGGAATGCCGCGACGGACGCGCGCGCATGCACAATTCGAACGATATGCGGTTGTTATTATGTCGCGCGATCGTCGAACAACACGTTTGAGAAATAATTTAAAAAAGCAACACGAATATACTCGGACGCGACCGACTTGTGGGTGTACCTATGCAATAATATTATTATGCACCGGCGAACGAGTCCGTGGTTATTACAATATCGTAACACGACGCAACGTGGACGGCGTGCGAATGATGACTGAACGGTCGCGACGAGGTTCCGCGGCGGCAGCGGTAACGACGGCCCGTCCACTGCGCGGCGGACGAACGTACGGCCGACCAATGGTACGCCGGCCGGGTCTGTTGGGCGCGGCCGCGGGACGTCCCGTGTGACCCGAGCGCCGCCCTCCGCCTCCCGCCCCCTCCGCATCCGCCGTGCATGTCGCCCGACCGACCGCGAACGCGTTTACGGCCACCGCCGTCACTCCACCCCCCCCATCCCCCACCACCCCCACCACCGCCGCCGTCTTCCGAATAATTCTTTTGCTCCGGCGCGCCCGCGTCAATAATCACCGTTTATAATATTAATACAACAATACTGGGGCTATAACGATTTTCTGATTTAGTACAACAGATAAAATACGCGTTTGATTTTTCGAAATGTGTACACAAAAAAAAAAAAAAAAAAAACCGTCCGTGATGTTTATATTAAATGTTAATAGAAGGTCGAAGACGGTTTTACAAATTGTTTAGAACCAACTTAATAATGATACGAATTTTCCACTAACATACTGCCGGACGCCCGTTTAAGAGGAATGGGTACGGACGGTTTAAGCTAATGAAATGCAGGAGTGAAATTCACCCACTACCGCTCGCCTGATTTCATTTTTGAAAACATAATAATATACGTACACTAGCTGTAGATAAATATTTGAATTCGTTGATTTCTGTTTGTAGAAAACATATTTCGTTCATTTTTTATTATTATTTAAAATATTTTCCCCGCAAAACATGTAAAAGGAGTCCGAAACCGATGTCATTTTCCAAAACAGAAATCGGAATACTGAAACTTGTCTAAGTATATATGTTTAATGTTAATTTCACTCCAGCTTATAATATATTGGTCTAAATGTAATGGAAAAACGAATCGCTTTCAATCGTTTTAATGAATAATATTTATTTCGCATTTAAATCATTAAATTTTTAATATTCTGAGCAGTGCGGGGAACGCATATATGTACCTATTTGGTTTTATGATTTTTTTTCACAGAATTTCACGTAATATTTTTCGATTTATACGGATACAATTTTTTTGGATCTATGTATAGGAATACGGGAAGAAAAAAACATTGAACAAAAATTATTGCAGCAATTTATTTATTAAAAGTTACAGGTTAATACAATATTTTCAATTGTTTATCAAAACATGTGTTCAGGCCCGAAATTCTCTCATAATCGTTTATCGTTAGCAATTATTTATCAGACGTAAAATAAATATAACTTTATATACCTTTCCGAATTCCCACCTACAACTGCATATTATGTGGAACTGCGATCGTGCAATATCAGCTCTTCTAAATCCTTTCGATTACCGTTCGCTACATAACTGTCGAATTTTTTTTAATGGGTTATTCGTCACCCACTTTTGGTATAACCGTGCGCGGTCTCTAAGATACCATTTTTAATTTATTCCGTTTCTCTATCACGCCCAGGACATGGTGTATAGGTAATTTATATTATTCAGGCATAGGTATGGCATTTTTTGAGGTGTTCATTGAGTATATATAAATAAAAAATAGACGTCCTGAGATAATGGGGACGGGTGTAGCCACTGCTATACAGGTAATTTAACGTAGACCTGTAAGCCAACAATAAACCGTGTGCTTACGAAAAAACGATTTTGAGCGGAGTTCAGTTGATAGTGATGCTTTGTCAGCAATATACATGTCATTGTATAGTAAAATAATTAAACAGGCTTTATATATTTTCTTTAATAATATAATGTTGTACCGATTTTTCCAGTTTTCCTACGTTTTTCCCGGTTTTTCCTCATGTCTTATCCCGGGTTTTCATATTTGCTGGAAAAACTCTTGGAAAAATAGAAAAATGACCTCTTTCAAGTACCTCGATAGTGAAATTTTCATTTAAAAGTATTGCTATTATTAAAAGTTGGTAGCAAAATTGCTGGTAGAAAAGTTGTGCACAGAAAAAAAAAAGACCGTAATATATTTTAACTAATACGTACCATTTCTTATAATTTTCCGTTTTTTTTTTTTTTGGTCTTCAAATTTGATAAGAAACCTCGTAATAATATTAATGCATCACACATTTATATCCGATGAACAGTTTCTAAGTAACAGCCATTTTAAATGGGTGATACATTACAATTTTCAGAAAAATAGTCTTTACAGAATGATGGCTATCTTAAAATTTTCCGAAAATAATAAAATAAAGTTATTTTTTAAATTTGTTTAATAAAAAAATAAATAAATTTAAATATAATTATTTTTAGTCCTCTTCCCCGTGATTAATATCAAAAAAAAAAAAAAAAACCGAATATGATTATCTTTATATAATAAAGATAATGTAATAATATTATCTCCAGAGATATTCTAGGGATATATCTTTGTGAGACAGCATGTATAATACATATGTAATTATTTCATGATTACAATAATGTGATATGTACATATATATTATATATTGTTTGTTAATAAAGCAAGGCTTTTCGTTAGCAATAATGTATAATCGTTGCGTAGGTACAGACATAGGCGTCGGCAGGCATTTTTTTAGTGGGGGGGGGGGAGGGCAATGTTAGGATTTGAGGAAAATTATCATATTTTTATTACAACGACCTTTTTTATTATACTCGCATACATATTTGATTAAGTTACAATTTACGAATATAGGTACATGCGTAAAGGTAAAGTCAACCCTATTGATTATCAAAAACAAATTGTAATCGTCTCACATCTCTTCTGAACTGATTAACAATTTCACCATAAAAATTTGTCATTTCTAAGATTAAGGTCATTCGCCATAAATTTATGTCTATTCGTCATGCGCAAAGCATCGAGTGTTTTGTCAATCACGGTAGAGCGTAAACAGGTTTCAACCCTCCGCAACTCACCGCAACGGACATAGTTAGCGTTATAGTTTCAGCGTCCGAACGTTGTTAATGTACAAAGCCTTAAAAATTCTTCCCTTACACAGAATTCAGCGGTTGACGTTTTGTGCACGAAACGTGCTCCTAATGAAAGCTGCTCTGTACCGGATATTTCACTTGGTTCGTCAGCAATGACTGAAAAGAACTGGCTCTCCTTTACATCTTTAATTGTATGTCCTAGTAACATTTCATTACATATATTTATATGTTCGTTTTGAATCCTATGTGAAATATAAGTCGCATTTCCGGATAATTTCTCGAATGGTCATTTAAAATGGTATCTCCTGCGTATACTTTTAATTTTAATAAGCTATTGATGATAGCAGTCTCGTCAGTTTTTCATCTTAAAGGCATGTTGTGTATACCACAAAAAACTATTGTTTTGACTATGGGTATTAGTTTCACTCTATTAGATTCTGTTATTTACCGCTGAGCATAATTCATAAGTTGAACAACACTTTTTTATTATTTTCTAAAATATTACAAAAATTATTTGCTCTGTTCGTTGAGTCAAAGTGCCATTTAGATTGAAGATGCAGTTTCACAGAGCCATGAAAGTCTTTATATTTCGTAAATTCGTTAATAATGAATCGACCATGCACTCCTCGATCTAGTTGAGGCGTAAACAATACGCAATAACGGCATAAAACTCCTTTTAATTTTTAAGAGTATGAAATAAAAGTTAATCTGTTAACCACTGAGCACGAAATAAACGATTTCCAGTATTAGTATTTTTTTAAATCGTACGATTGATTGGGTACCCGCGCTTGTTTTAATGCTTTATAAATAATCTCGTCCGACAATTTTCCACGATTTATAAAATTCCCAATATCATAAAAATTAATGTTGGCGAAAACCCTAAAAAAAATTAGTCATTTAATTTAAACTTAAAAATATAATTTCACTCTATAATATTTAAGCAGACCTCAAAATAATATCTGTATAATTTTTATATATTATTATGGTTTAAATTTAATTGTTAAATATTTTCATAAAGACCTTTGGTCAATTGTGTAATAGACATTATTGTCTTATCTTTTCTACGATACGCAATGAAGTAGATGTTTCATCAAAAGAAGTCGACCGATCAATTTCTATTTGGCTAGTTTCGGTTTCAATATTTTCGTTTACATCGGTATGTTCGGGTTCTAGTTCTAAACGAGGTTTGTTAAAGTATCTTCTCAAATCCATTTTCCATCAATTTCGAATAACCGTTAAATTATTTTCCATAATTACTTAAGTCTACATTTTTGAAAAATTGTCATTACTTTATACTTACGGTACACCGATACAGCTCCAAAACACACAACTGACACAACCGGATTTCACACCAAGTAACGAGTTACGATTGACTTGCGATCACAATGATACAATAATATCATACGGATAAACACTAATCAGTAATCTACTTGACACGAACCTGTTCAACGGGGCCCATTATCTTTTCGAAGAAATAAACGATAATAATAATAATAATAACAACAAATAGATAGAATTAGAATTCGACAGGTAAATATTATATGATAGAGAATATTATGTAGGAAACTATAGAAAGACCTGATCTAAAAATGAATCGATTAATCGACCGCGAATAATCTAAATCCAATGTTTTTATAATGGTGATATGGTGACCTATTATTCATATAATCATATTATAATCGCTTTCAATTTGTAATATATAAATACATTAAATAGCTATAGTAATTTATCTTAGAACATTCAATTTAAAAAAAAATTACCAAAAAGCCAGGGGACAAACGCTCCGGCTTGCCCCCCTCCGGGCGACCATGAGTACAGATATACATTAAATTTTTCCTTTATACCTCCCCAACTTCTCACCAACAACAGTGGCCCACCCACGTGCAAAGTATGTCCATTTTTTTTTTCTTTTGCTCGTCGGTCTTTTCTAATCTAAGTAGCTAAGTTCTAGTTACCTTATAGCGTAAACTCACTATAAAATTTACGACTATATCAATGACCCAAGATGACATGTCACCTCCGGTTGAGAATCACTGCTATTTAAATATGCAATGTATATTTCAGGTATAATTTCATTACACGATTTATGTTGCACAGTTGCGTATTATATTTTTTAAGGGGATGGTTGGTTTTTTTTTTTATCATTAAAATAACAACAAAAATTACTTACACCTTTAAGCTAAACTTGTGGTGGTGTAGGGAGTTACGGTACACGTGCATGATTAATTAATTTACATACCATCACAAATAATATTATAAAATCATAACATTATAAACAAAACAATTAGTAGATTATATTTATAACTAAGTTAAATAATATTAAACGAGTTAATAAACATGTGTAAACAATTTAATTCTAAAGTGTGAGAAACGTACAGTTTATTAGATATCCTACTGTTATTGAAGTTTGTCCATATTTATATACAGATATGATTTTTTTCGCACATTCAGGTGTTACACATATTGTTTCTTTCGGTTCGTTGTTCGTGGAATTAAAACAAGTTGAAACGGTTAAGTCCACCTAAATTATACCGAGCACACGAATAATATAGAAATTGTGTTTTCTGGGGGCAGAAACCCCCTAACTCCTTTCTCCTCGTAATCGCACCACTGATACTTCATCATAATAAATAATAATTTGACGTTAAACCAAGAAATTATTTTTATATACGAAAATATGACTCGTTCGTTTTAAGTACAGTGAAATTTTAATGCGGGGAAGATTTAATATACCTGTGTAGTTTTTATAACTGTAATATTGTATAGTGGTTGCGTGATGCCCATGTTAAACTAAATAGACAATGGACAATGTTAATACGCATCACGCGCGGTACCCATTACGTTTTTGTTTGGTTTTTTTTTTTTTCTAATCATTTATATGCATTTATTTTGTTTTATTAGAACTATATACCTACTTGGCCGAGTAATGAGTAATTAAAGTTAAGTATTGCATAAATTAATGTCTCCGCGGTATTATATTACACTATATCCGGTCGTTAAAAACGAATGTTTACATAATTTTAAATATTCGACTACCCTGATAGCTACGATGACCGCGGTGTATAAAACGACTTGGTATGTCGGTAGCTTTGGCAGTGATGCCGAAACATTGGACGTGGGACGGGAAGGTTAGGACGAAAATATAATTTCGCTTCCCACCCCCGAGAAAATATCGATAAATCTTTATGAATAGCAAAAACAAATATTTAAATTCAATTTTCGTATTATTTATTAACCCGTCATCACGAATAAAAATATTTAATAATAAACAACATTACGTTATTTTATACCCAACATATTATTACTCATATTATGGTTTCAAAAAAACCCGGCGCAATCAATAATAAATTATTTATCGCTCTGTGACATTATCGTTATTCACTACACAATGTCTCTAAATGTTCGTCTTCTGTTATTTGTACGTTAACTTCAATGTTGTCTAATCGAATTACGTTACTAGCGTTGAATAAAATGTTTATTTGTTTCGATATTAAACTATTAAAAATGTATTGATTTATTTATTACACACAAAAATATATTGATCCATAATGTTGAAATATTATATATATATATATACAACCTACATTATCTTATTTATCTACATATATATCTATAAGAGTAAACGCAAAATCCAATACGTCCAAAAATCATTCTGCGTGCTATGCTAATTGCATGATAATTATTAATGTAGAAAAAAATGCGAAAGAGTATTTTCTTCACTGGGCGGGGAGGGGCTGTGTGTATAAAATATAATAATATTTTAACAGTTTTAAGTATTCACTAATAAGATCTTTATATTACAATAAAATAACTAAAAACGTTATTCTTCGTTTAAATAGGTACCTAATTACGTTCAAATTTAAAATTGAAAAAACTATAAAGAAAAAAAACTATGTTTATATATTTTTTAGATCTTTAATAATATTTTGACATATCAGTAAATGCTGTAATTGTTTATGACCCTTGATAACAATGTGATTTCTTATAATTATTATTTTTTCTTTTTGTATTATAAATGCTATTAAAAGCTTTCTTATATGTGTAAAAACATCCATGTCAAAATACTATTATAATATTATTGTTTATATTTGTATATTATTATATTATTATCAACATCTTCTTAAGAATTAAACATATTATATTATTATTATTAATAGCTATTTTAATAACAAGCGATTTATTAGTTTTACTATGTATATCAAGCACGTCCTCAAGGGAGAGGGGCGCCTATTTTTTTTTTTTTTATTTGTTTGCTGTGAACAACTTTTCTACCAGAAAACTTGCACTCCAAAGTATAGAATATAGCACCTTTACTGAAAGGTAATTTTCTTTAGTTAATGCATTTAGGATGTCATTTTTTAACTTTCCAAGGGGTTTTCGAAATAATTGGGAAAACCCGAAGGAAAATTATAGGTTTTCCTTGTTTTTTGATATGTTTACATGATGTTTTGTTCCAATACGAAATTCACTAGAGATCGATTTTGTTTCTTTTAATATTTTGCCACTGTCACAGTAAGTCATTTTTCAGTATCCAAAGTAGTTTTCTTAATTTCATTTCTTCAACATTTTACAGCGATAGAAATTTCCCAACGATTTATGATTAAACATGTACGTCGATTGGGTATACTTATATCACAACCATGGGCTTGCATATAATTACATTATATCTTTGTCTGCAAGTTCAACAAAATAAAATCGAAACCATGTACTTGTAAACTAATTGTTTCCTATATCAAAGAGATAATTCAATTATTTAACTTGTTAAACAATAGAGTGTGGTTGTTGACAATACACAACAGTATGACTTTAAGATTACACGAGACCACAGCACGATATTTCAATTTTTCCAACGTATATCAGTGACATATTTTTACTATTACATAAGTTGTACACATTTCTTCTTTAAAAGAAAATTATAATCTTAAGTCATAAATAGTACACGAAGATATACCATCAAAGGATTCTTCATAATAGAATAATTGCGTAAAATATTTAAATTAGGATCAATGATAATGAGAATTCGCTGTAAAATGTCAGGTTACAACAATTATACATTATAACATCATAATCAAAATATTAAAAATTACAAGATTTTTTTTTAAATTTATTTGAACTAGTTTTTTCACTTAGGAAATTTGAACTAAAATAAGGAATACCTTGGTGAATACATTCTATGTATTTTCTTTAATAAATTATTTCTATGGGTGAATATTAGGTAATATTGGATTATATTATTATTTCACGTTTTATTACATAATGAAATAAAATACTATCAATGTAGATAATAAAAAAACATGATTTTTTTGACATTACATTTTACAACCGCAATTCATTCAATTTTTACTCGTACACTTCCATTACATCATCTTCATAAATATATAAATCTTCCATCATCTCTTCAAGACCAATTCTTGGTGCACCATCATCATCTTCAGTAGCAGACTCAACACCAGCATCTGGATTTACATAAATATTAATATTTTGTCTTAAATCTTTATCTTCCTCCAAATCATCCATAAACTCATCCATGTCACTAAAATTTAGTAAAATAATTTTATAATTAATGAACATTATCCTATTTAATTTTCTAATAAATTATTTGTTATAAAACCAAAATACTTACTTATTATCACTTTCAAAGTTAATTTCTGTATCTGTTATTCGCTTTAATTTCCAGTTACGTTTGCGATGCCTTGCCCGATCAGGATAATTTTTCTTAATTAAAATTATATCCGGTAATAAAGTTTTGGACAATTTATCAAAGTTATTATCATTCACATTACTATCTGCAATAGCGTAACCCAAAACTGTGTCCATTGGTTTAAGAACATGTCCTAAATGAGTCCTGCAATGAATAGTGTCTGATGTCAAACCTAAATCACAGGATCTTACAACCCATACATCTGCTAACATGTGCTAAAACAAAAAATAAATGTATAAGTGATTAGAGGGGATCATACAAGAAAAAATTGATATTGATGTTCATTAAAGTGAATTTGAATGCTCACTTTATACGAAATTTGCCCTTGTCCTGGAAACAACACTCTATCTTTTTCCATGATTGGCTCAATGTCCATTACAGTGTATTCTGTGAATTGTTTACTTTTGAAAACACTCTGGAAACTATCTCTCCAATATGCAGAACTGCTTACTTCTGCCACTAAAATAATATATTTTATATTAATGATACACCCAAAAGACCACAGAAGGTGAATATTTACATTGTGCAGTAGAAGGATCAATCAATTTAATTGAGTTTGTTACCCTGTATACAATACATAAAGGACTGATTCCTCCCAATTGCTGACTCATTTTTTTAGACAAGCAGACCACACTATCCTTCATAACTGGTACAATTTCCATGCTAATATACATTAATTAATTCAATTTGTATTATTTTAATAATTATACACATTTCTGTATTTATGAAGCATCAACATGAAAATATTAAATTTGTTAATTATAAAACATTAAGTGATAGTTTTATATACAACATACCTATACGTAAATTTGTAATTATAAACATTACTATGAATATCATGGGACAACAATTTCTTAGAATGTTGATATCGACAAGGTAATACTGCAGACATAAAATCCACAAGTTTACGAGCTTGTGATTCAGTAGAGTAAAAAAAATCCAAACCATCTAAAAATAATAATGTATTTTAACAAAAATGTAAATGTATCTTATCATAACTGTATTTTACTTGTTTCTGTTTTTATAGATAATGTATTTTTATGTGCCTTATGTTTTAACATTAACTGTTCCAAGTAGTAAAATGTTTTTTTGTTGTCTGATTTTTGTCTAACTTGAACCTAGAAAACACACATACAGTTATTAAAAACATATGATACTTATTAGATAATCCTTAATTGTATTACCATTGATATATACATTTAATCAATGGTATTACCACTAGTATAATTTACTGTATTATCTGAAATTTGGCATGTTCTATTGATTAAGGTTTTGTTCGCGTAATTACGTCATCATTCTCTAGCGACTATTAACATGCACACTATTCTTTCTAATTAATATTATAATATGTCAATACTAATAATTTAATGTGGTTAAATAAACATTGTTACTCGTTTAAATTTTTGTCTTTTAATCTCAATAATTTATGGTCCTAGTAAACCTAATCTATTTTATGTATAATGTTTGAAAACTATTATAGTTGTATTTATTAAAACTTTGGAAATGAAAGAGGATAAGTCCATATTGTTCATTACAAAAAAATAAAATACCAGTCAAATTGTATACTAATAAAAGATTTTAATCTTTATATAGTATACTCAAAGGGGTGATTTATTGGTAATTTATCACCACCACTCACTCAATAAGTTTGGAGAATAGAGGACAGACCCTAACCTTTTAAATATCAAATGTGAAATGTACATGTCATATAATTATTTTGTCAATTTGTAATTAATCAAATTATATTAAATAATTATATAATCCTATTTCACACCTTCCACCTAAATATAGTTACACTATGCCAGAAAGTATTAGGATGTAAATAATAGAGGTAATATTAGATTCTATATTAATATTCTTAATGTGATTTAAAATAGTATGAAAACACCTGAAAAGCAGAATCAAGTCTTCAGTGTTAATCAAATTATTTCTTGACATTAAGACTATGATTTTATTGTTTTAGTACTCAATGCAAATATGTTTATTGATAATGTACCAAGTGATTTTAATTCAATAATGAATAGACTAGACAGTTAATAGTTAGATGACATTGATCTAGAATTGAATCATAAAGCTATAATAAACCATAATACTACATTAATTGGGATTCTGAGTGGTTCTATCTTATTTTGAGTAAAGTACAATACAAACTAAGAAACTAATTTTTAAATTAATATTTTCAATATAATATCAATTGAATATAACAATAGTAATCTACTTACTAAAGCACGCCAATAATCTTGAGCTTCAGAACGATGGCAGTCATCACACATCTGATTAGCAATAATAAACTCAACCACAAATACTTGTTGCAAAGTCATGCCACTCATCACTTCCCCGTGTACAGTAAGTTTTACCTATAAATTAATATAATTTTATTGCTTTTGATTTATTTATTTTTTTTATTTTTGAACCTTAATGCGTTTTGAATGCGGTTCAGTCCAAATAAACCCAGCATCAACCAGTTTCACTTTACTTAATGCTTTTAGTTTGCGTAAACATAGCCCTAACAGTTCTTTGGATTCAAGAGAACATGATATCCATTCAAACGGTGGTTGTAGATACCGTTCACAATTGCGACAAAATTGCAATGTGCCTTGTTTGGGAATGTCTTGTGTGATGTCTACATGTGTACGGAGACAAGAAACACACATGTTGGCCGGATTTGGCTCCATAGTCACTCCGCATTGGCAGCATAATCTGTAGTAATATATAGGTACAAATAATCTTTTAAATAAACTGTTCAAATATTGTACTTTAACACAGAAAAGTAACATCAATGATACATACATTTTAGCCACAGTCGCCGTTACTGAAGTCGGTGTGTAGTCCATTTTGAAAATGTTGTCGATGTATACAATTAATAAACTAATATAAAATTATTTTTTCATAATAATTTTTAACTTGAAAATAAATTCATCAATATGTTCACCATCACGTCCATGTGATAATTTTTCAGATAAATCCACATTACACATCATGTACAAAATACAATACAAATAATTGATAACATATGAAAAATTACAGTGTCAAAAACACGATAGTAGTTTTTGTTGGCAACAGTGTCTATTACGAATATTTCTACCGTTGGTTGTATTGATCAACTACTACTAATACCCTCTCTACTTACAAGTTTTATTGTTTATGATACTTTGTTCATTATAATATTATATTGTTCACTGAACTGCTGAAAGCATTCGCACGTTGCCGCGCGTCCTGATCAAGTCGTATGTATCTAATTCTTTCAATTATAGTATATATTTAATTTGATTTGATTTTATATAGTTGTAAATCAATTAATCGTAAACCAAATAGGTAAGTGGTGTAAAATCTAAAAAGTTTATCTACTGATGAAAATAAATAGATTGTTATAAAACTAATAGCTGCTTTGTTGTATTCACCAGGTATTTAAAATATGCTTTGATATTTTTATAGATAAGATGGTTTTTTGCTTTACTTGTGATGTTAAGTTGTATGGTGAACGGACACGTGTGAGTTCCAGTATTTCTCCTCATTCTAATACACCATACCCTGAAAAGATTGCTGAAATTTTGGGAGAAGATTTTTTGATTATAGTAACTCCAGCTGATCATATGTGCAAGAAATGCGCATCACTTTTGACACATGTAGACAAGTTGGAACAAGACCTTAAAGCTGTTAAAAATGCGATGGTAACATTAATCCAAAGAAAATATGGATTCATACCGGCTGATCAGCCGATCAAGACTTTTGATGTATGTTTTTATTATTTCATATACTCAATACTATAATATGTATAGTTAATACTTTATATCCTAAGGCAGATAATTAGTTTGTTTATTTTATTGTTATTTCCATCCACTGTCTAGATTGTCAATGGAAATTTGAAAATTGAAGATGTAGAACCTACTCAGCCAAAAGTAGCCAGTGGGTCGACAGTTAAGCATACATCTGTGAAGTCGCCATTGAGAATGACTAAACAACAGGAAGCTTCAAAAATGAAAATATATAAATGCGGTTTTTGTGCATTCCAATCTAAAGAACTTGGCCATGTTCGGTATGTATTTAGGTTATATTACCGGGGATCAGATAAAAGTTTTAATTTATTAATAATATAAATAATGAATATAATATATGTATAATATAATATAATATGTAATATAATATGAATAATAAGTAAAGTAGTATAAATAAAAGTAAGTAATATTGAAAAATGTATGATATAGAATGAAATATAGTTTATTGATATTTTAATATCAGCCACCCTAAAACAAAAGTGAGTTAAATTATTTAAATTAATTGTTATTATTATTTAGAATAATTAGATTATTCATGTCTTTGTTTGAAATATAAAGCTTTTGGGTCTGAAAAAAAATGTCAAAATATCAAAAAATGTTACGTACATTTTTTTGTTTGTATAGGTACAGTCCTAGAAAATTCCATCGGTCAGATTTTCGATTTTCAATCTGTAAACACTTACATTTTTTATATTTCATTATGCAATTATATATCTGTAAGTATATATTATTATTTTTGAAAATACAAATTTTGGTTTTTTATTAATTACCTATATTTATCAATTATCTATGTATGAGTGTTAATGTCAGGAATGAATTATCGTATACAATATTACATAGGTAATTCCAACTATTTTATATTATTTGGTAGGCCAATTTAATGATTGCATAAAATATATAAGTACCTACTATTTAAAATTTGATATTAATTACAAACTGATAAAACAAATATGTCGTATTGAAAACTTTTCTTTTCAGGAACAACACTATTAAAACAGCCCTTTTTATGTCCACCAAATTTATAAATTCTTTTCAAAATATAAAAAAAATCCATGATGTCCATGAAATCAGTCGGAAAGTAGGAAAATTGAAAATATGATCGATGACGGTTTTTCTAGGGTTGTGTACAAACAAAAAATCTAAGAAACTTTTATTGATATCTGACATTTTTTTCCCAAATCCAAACACCATACTTCAACTGTGAAATCTACAATAAATAAATTATTTATTATAATTTACCTTTTGAAGTGATTAAAATACTAAAACATTTTTTGTGAGCATTTCTAGTGAATGCTTGTTGACGAATCGTGATTAATTGTGTATCTAAAACCATTATATGAATTATTTTCTTTCTCAATTTCAAAATTACTACTTCCATTTCGATTCAAATAACTGCAAGATTGAATAATAACTGAATTTCTTATGTGTTATCATGGCATCGATTTTATATACTATATGTTGGATATTTCATATATAATACAGATTAAATTTTCTATCTATGTCCGTGAACAAATTATTACTTATAACACTAATTTTTAATTTATATTACTTTACTTATTATTGCCATTATTTTACCCTTCATTATTTATATTATTAATAAATTATCTTTTTATATGAAAAAAAAAATTAAATCTGACTTTACTAAAAATTTTGTGGTCCGACATTTTTCCGGGATCCAATAATACTTTATTACTAATAAACATATTTATATTTTCAGGTTCCATATGCGTTCGCATATGAATCAGAAAGGGGGTGGTGAAATAACTGTTCAAACAGGAACTAAACTTATGAATCAGGTAATGTTCAAATAATAGATTAGTATTCTGATTAAGATTAATTAATAAGGGACACAATTAGATTTAAACCTACTTCCAATATAACAATACCCTCTTTAAATTAAGTTTATTGTTATACTAAAAATTCAATATTTTGTTTGTAAAATAAAATTGTTTTATCCAAGGGCGGATTTAACCATTTGGCGCCCCTATGCTAAATTAAATAAAGCCCCTATCAATAATAATAAACTGAACTGTCCTTTTGAAAACATATCTCTTTATCAACTAAAGCAACAAAAAGTTTCCTCAATAAAATCCCTATAATGGTAACCATTAAATAATATTCATACATAAAAAAATATTAAGTTATTTTTAAAAAGTGATATTATTTTAATTAGTTTATAAAAGTTATGTATTTTTTTATCATTGTACTTTATATACATAACAATTCAAACATTTTTCATTTTTAAACAGTTTATAAATTTGTTTCTGAATTTAGAAGAGGAATAATTTGACCAACATTTGAGAATGTTCGAAAAACATTTTGGGATGTTAATGTATATTTACATAAAATTCTGAAGTTATAATTTTTTCTCAATCTGAATTTAAGTGATGTACCCAATATCTTCTTTTTAAAGGAGTAAGCTCATACAGTTCGCCAACAGCTTCTGCCACACAAAACTTTCAAAATTGTTTGATTGGACATTACTACAATCAATCTTGTGATACCAAGTCAAAATTAAAGCTGAACTAATTGTTTATTCTAAATTTATATTGAGTTCCCAAATTTAGAGTAAAATATATTATAACATTTTAAAAATATAGTAGTAATATGCAGTAATAATACATCTTATGGCCCGATAAGTTATCACAATTTATTTTGCCACATGCGATGAAACCATTCCCTGTGGTTTGAGCCTTATAAAAATGTATTCCTATTTTTAATATTCATATATATTTAAACACGATAAAATTGTCTCAGTTTAATCAACATGAGTTTCTGCATACAGTCGTCTGTATGAATATTTATATATGTTTTATATTGTATCTACATTCTATAAGATAAACAATAAAATAAGCTATAATAAATCATTATCGTCATTATCATGGGAAAAGTTCATTATAAAAAAATATAATTTTGCTAAAAATAATAAACAAATACAAAATCCAAATATACCAATCAACATTTTAAAATTGTCTAATTATAAAAAAAAAAATATATTCAACACAATTTTGCTGTCCTATACAACTGCATAGTTTGCAGTGCTTTCAATCTGCCATTGTTTATAGCAGAAATAATACAATTTCTACTAGTCACTTTTTCCTGATTGATTATAAATTAATACTTTCCGTATTAAATTCACATTGTACATATTAATCAGTGTTATAAGTATTTAAATATGTATTTTGCTTTCAATTTAATTAATTTACAAACTAAAAAATAAAAATTTTGTTTATAAAAGTAAGTATTAAACCTGTACAGTGAACATTAAAGAAAATACTTGTTCAATTTTCTTGTATCAGAAATAGGGTTGCGTGTACTGAACTTAAAAATTTTCTAATTTTTAGGATAAGATTTTCAGATTTTGAGTAATAGTAGTAAGGAAGATTTTAATTATTACTTATAACATTGTGTAAACTGTAAAAATACTATACATTTTTTTTTTTTTTTTATTAAACGTGTTATAGTTAATTTGACTATAGTAAACTATGACTAAACTTTGGCTATAAGTAAACAATTTATAATGGTCATTACATTATTTTACGCAGGCATCATCGCAACAACAGAAGCAGCATCAAAAGAAAAGACTATACAAGTGTCAGGTGTGTTCATTGTCTTTTGAAAGTAGACAGATTTGTCTTGATCACATTAAGAGAAATCATAATCGTCAAACAATAATGAATAATAAAAAGGTATAACTAAACGTATTCTTCTAAAATTGCATACAATTATTTATTTTATATTTAACAGGTAAAGGAATATACTCATTTACAGACAGGTGGAGATAACCAGCAGACTGGTGAATCTGCTATGGATATAGGGGATGGTCAACAGAACAATAGTGCTGTAGACACAGACGTGGATATGTTAAATATCTCAGCTGGAGGATCTCAACAGGAAATTCTAAATACTGAAGGACATGTCTCCACTCAAATTGGTACTATAAAAATTGACCCAGGAACTAATATCGAGAACGTAGCTGAAGGAGAAATGGCAATTGGAAGTGAAGATAACAAATCTGGAGGCTTGGACATTGAGTCAATGTTGGCGTCAATTCATCATACTGCTCCATCCACTAATGTTGGTGTTGTAGATAACATGGTTGGATTGCTTTGAACTATTTTCCTACTTTAACATATCTCATTTGAATAATATAAAATTTACTTTTAAAACAAACTAGTACTACTTTTGTATGTTTTTATTTATTTCAAAAAAAAAAAAGGTGTAATACAAGTAAATAAAGTATACAATTTGTAATAAATTATGACATTGGTACTTTTTAAAATTAACAATTGTTTGTGATATTACAGAAAAAATTGATTTAGACCATAATATAACCAACTATATAGGTGTATCAATTACTTATTAGCCGCGGTTTTATGGTAATCACTGAATGAAACAATATTTTTTGGTGGTTGTTGATCGATAATACAGTAATTAAGTCTTGTAATTACTTGATTACAAAAACAGTTGTGAGCTTCTGCGCAAATTTAGATAAAATTGAGTATTAATGATAAGTTAAATAGTTAGCTATATCATGATTTGGACTATATCTTTAGTAGTTATTTTTGGAGAAGTTCTGCTAACTTTCCATTTTGAGACATCTTTCTTACATCAGAACCACCACCGATAAATACACCATTAACAAACACACGTGGCACCTAAAATATAAATAAGTTAAATTACAAAATAAATCCAATGAAAAATGTTTATTGTGATATAACAAATTTACTGAACGTGCTCCAGTTATCTCTTCTAAGGCGTCTTGAATATCATCCATGTCTTCTCTCTTTTCTAAATCGATGGATTTGTATGATGCTTTCAGTTTATCAAAACACTAATACATTTATTTACACAGGTATTAGTTTAATTATTGTTTAATGTAAAATGTTAATTTTACTTCTTTAGCCATCTGACAGTAGCCACAGTCCGATTTGGAAAATATTACAATAGGATCATGGGCAATTGCATCTTTCACAAACTGTGTAGCAGCCATTATTTGAGCTGGTGAAGATAATCTTTTGCTGGAAATTAAACCCATTAGTTTTAATTTTGAGAAATATTTTTGTAGATTAGGTTTTTCACATAAATGCTGATGACAATGCAAATAACATTTCTCTGTCAACATAGAAAGTTAATAAACTTAAAAAAAAACACTTTAACTGTGATTAAATAGTACTCGTCCAATATTTTATCTATAAAAATAATGTTATTTAATTTCAAATTTATTTTATATTCTATTTAATTTCTATTATTTAATGTTCAAATAAATTCATCTGTATTTCATACATTATATAGATGTGTTCATGATATATAATAAGTTGTATATTGATTCGTGTTTACAAATACAGTCTGTCCAACCGTGTTTGACAGATTTTTCTAGCGCTGATAATGTTAAATTTTTTTCAATCTGTTTTCAAAGGGGACATTGATTTGGTGAAAGAATAAATTAAATTTGTATTTTCATCTTTTAAAAACAAAAAAAAAAATGCTTTTTCACTTTTTCTTATTATCTACCCAACATGGTTTTGTACAACAAATCATTTATTTTCAATTAAAACAGTCTGAGCGATCGAGTGACCCCGCCCGGTCTCTAGGTGCACCCAAAATGCTTTTTTTTTAAGTTTTATGTACAATGACTTTAAAAGTAAGTATGAAAGGTAAGTTTTGATAACACCAATGAATTAAGCATTTTCATAAATCACATTTTAGAAAAAAAAAATTTGAAAATGTTTAATTTTCACTAAGATATACGCGAAAAGAAATACCTAAACTTCATGAAGTTTTTCTCCATAACTTCCAGATGAAGTTCAACAGTTTTTTTTTATATTCTTAACATACAGGCAAAAAACACAAATTTTGACAAAAATAATTGGGTCATAAACTAGATTTGTTCCCGATTTCCTTTTAATTTTTTTTATTATGAGCAACACTGACTTAGAAGTGTGATCTTAAAGCTCTTTTATCATCTGTCCATGTATGCCATTCAAATACCTTCAAAATAGTTTTAAAGTTTTAGAAGTATTAAGAGTTTTTTTATTAACATTGTAATCTCATTTCTGGTGTATGACCTAAACTTAATAACTTTTGTAGTACAAATGTTACCACTATTAGTATATATTATCTTATTTTAAGACACCTTGAATTTGTCGCCAATACATTATTACTGTAAAACCATCCAAGCTTTTAGGTAAATGGAAAGAAAAATATTGATTTAAAATTATATAGATTAACAATTATACAAATATTTACCAAATATGTATTAATGTATTTTAATTATTTAAATTAATGTAATTATGTTTCAATCAATAACAAAGTTCAAGTTAAATTTAAAAATTATAACACGAAATTTACTTTCCGTAGTTTAAACTCATTGTCTAGGGGCAGGGGGTCAGACTCTTGTAAAATCGCTATTGATTATAATTAACAGATAAAGAAAAAATTATTCAATACTTAAAGAATATAAACTAAATAATTTAAACACGATTTCCTATACTTACTTATAAATCACGACCAAATTGTATTGTAACCGGTAAGTGTTCAAATTTTCATACACGAGAGTTCTAGACACAAGTCGAATCTCGATAATCTATGCAAACTGCAAAGTGTCAGATAACCAAAGAATAATATTATAATGTACAAATGGGCCAGTTTGACCAGAAATCCGAATGAGTCCAGCGTTGCCAGAAATTAGCAAAGATATACCGCTACTAGAGAGCGCTAACATTTCCGTTATCGTTTTTTTTTTTATTTTCTAAAATCAAAAATAATGATTATCCGTGGCCAAAGCCCAAAATTCATAAATAGTAAATTAATTCTCAACGTGTTTCAATCATGATTTTCACCTAGATATCTTAGTTTTGCATTTTAAGATATACCTTAGAATATATTGTAGCACTTGCAACCGAAACTAACTTGACATGTTTTGCTTATTGTGATGTATTATACTGATGGCATGTTCAAAAATTGTCCCATACCATTTTACCAACTGTTCGTTATAGCTAGACAGCTAAAAATGAAAACTGTACAATTATTATAGCATTACTACCATTGCCACATATACGGGAGTGCTTGGCACCCCTAAATCTAAAATTGACACACCCAGATTTTAAGCTAAATAAATATAATACTCAAATAGTACTCAGATATGAGATAAGTAATTAGATACCTACTACCATACTATTATGTATTGATTTATATTATATATAGCATATTTATAATTAATATTACCTATATATAGTATTTACATTATAATATTATTATGTAAGTTTATGTTAATTGTTTTCATATTTTTAAGAAGGTACCAAACCCTTGTTGGTTATTTATCAGGAAATGAAAATTTCATTATTAAAAATCAGATCTCATTATTTTAATTTTGTTTAATTACCTAATGTGCAAGTAATGACCTGAAGGAAAATTTCAAGACAGTAGTTTTACTCAGTGGCAGATACAGGAGGAGGGAACAGGGACATGTGCATTCCCAGTCAATGGACTACAGTTTTTATTTATATATTTTATATTAATTTAATATAATGCTGGTTTTACTAACACAATATTAATCCCACACTATAAGTACCTAGGAATCTACATACTCGAGATATATAAATTATATAAAAAACAATTTATGCAAGAAAATTATTTTGTTTTTATAGAAAAGACAAAATTTATACATTGAAACTGTTACTAAATATTTATTACCAGTCATAAAATAACAAATTAATTCTTCTCAAAATTATAGTTTATATTGTATAAATTCGACATTTGCTGCATAAAGAAGAGCTTTCATTTATTAATCGGTAAGTCATTTTTTTTTTTTTTTTTTTTATAGAAATATTCATGAAAGATCGTTAGCATCCGTGGGGTCATCGATTTATTATTGGTGAAGCACTGTTTGACAAATTTTAATTTGTGATGGAATTGAGTTTCTAATATTTAAAGTCAGCACATGTACCAAAATTAATATAATTTGAATTCATTCAAAATTCACATCAAATACGATATGGAAGATTATCCACTCTAATATTCCATAGAGACAAAACTTCTGTATTATAAAATACTACATCAATATATGTATATAAATAAAATAAATAATAATTAAATTAACAAATCTAGTTTTCTCTTTTTTTCCTACTAGTTTGTCTAAAACTTCTTCTGCTGTAATTGGAGTATTTCTATAAACTGCCATAAATGTTGGGCTATTTAGCCATTCCTGTAACAAATACATTTTTAATTTATCAATAAAATGTATTTCAACTATTACAAATTATATTTTACTTTTCATTGTATTTCTTGTGTAAGTCTTTAATCTTTTTAAACAAGAGAACATTCTTTCCAGAGTAGCGGTTGAAACCAGTAAAGTACAAAATGTGCTCAATAAATTAAACATATTAGGATATATTATGATATTAAATTCTTTAATTGCATCTAGCCTTGATTTAGGTTTGTTTGAAATTCTTTCTAGTTTGATTTTCCATTACATTATAGTATTTACATTTAGAATATTACATTATAGTGCATACCTAATATATAATATAAGCAAAAAAAAAAGCTAATGGGTGGTATTTGATCCCCCCACATTCTCCTCCCTTGTATACACCACTGCTGCCGGGATCGCTTGCTCAGACCGTTTTAATCAAAAATAACCCTAGATTTGTTATGCAAAACCTCATCGGACAAATATTAGGGAAAAGTGAAAAAGCATTTTGGGTGCACCTAGAGACTTAGCGGGGTCACTATGGTTTGAACATTTGTAACTCTAAATGATGGACTTAATCTGACTTCAATAAAAAAAACTTTGTTATCAAAATACCAAAAACTACAAATCATAGAAATAATAAAAACGACCACATTTTGGATTAATTACAAAAAATGCTGTTTCAAGATTTATGTACAATAATTATATAAGTATAATAGGTAAGTTTTGATTATACCAATGGATTTAGCATTAAAAATCACACATTTTAGAAAAAAGAATTTAAAAATGTTTAATTCTCACTAAAAAATACGCGAAACAGAAAACCCGAATTTCATGAAGTTTCCCCCCCATAACTTCCAAATGAAGTTCGTCCGACTTTTTTTTTTAGATTGTTAATGTACTAACAAAAAAACACATTTTGAAATGAATAATGAGGAAAATCAATTTGGGTTGTAAACTAGATTTATACCTTAATTTGATTATGATCTCAATTCTAATACCGATTATGATTTCTGATAAAAATGAAAATAACCAAAGAGGTAGGACATGACGTGATTTCCGGGCTATATTGAACTCCTAGTAATTATAATACGTGTTATCTTTATTGACGTGTTATCAATTCAATAGTAAAACTTTTTTAACATCAATTGTATAAACGAACCGAAAAAAATAATATCTATTTTAATATTTTGTAGACTAGAAAGTAGAAACTTTTACCGACCAATAATTAATAGTAAACATAATCCTTAAATTAAATATAATACAATTGCAGTAATGTAATTTATGCATTCCAATTTTTGTTTTTAGGCTGAAAATATATTTTATTTGAAAGTAATTGCAATTATTATTTTTCACTGAAACTAAATTTTAATCTTGAATAAATAGGTCTTTTTAATATTTTAAGATGTATGCGGCCAATGGATTATATATTGTACAAGGCGAGCTGTCAGCTTTGATTTCTGCACTGAAAAGAGATCACAACTCTTATCAAGTAAATTTTAAACTATTCAACATAATGTTTAAATTGAACATATATAATTATATAAATAAAAACCATATTCAAGTAATCTATAAGAATTAAAAATTAAATTTAAATATTTGTTTTAATTATTATTTACACATTTAAATCATAAGTAAATGTGTATCTGTTCAATTATTTATATAAAGTTCAGTTATTTTCATTAATTAACATTTATTTTACAGGATGAAGAAAGATATTCACCATGTAAAAGGTTATTCAAATTACGGGATGCTGTTAATCAAGTGGAAGACTTAATGTCTCTTAATTTTGATAGCGTTTTGGGTAACATATTTGCTGAATACTTATTATTATTTTTATTAATACAATTTTATAATTAGAACCATTTTTGGAAGTGATTCGCTGTGAAGAAATTACCGGTCCTGTAACAAGCCTTTCATTGATGTCAATTTATAAATTTATAAATTATGGACTAATAAAAAAGTGTAATTACAACTTATTAGTTATTTAATTTACTTTTATTTAAATTTAATATTGTTTAGGTGTTCCTGAGTCAAAACTATTGACAACTGTAGAAGATATTGCAGATGCCATTATTCATACTAGAATTTTTGGGACTGAAAAAACTAGTGATGCTATAGTATTAATGAAAATATTACAAGTTTTATATTGTTTGATGATGTCTCCTGAAGGAGAATATCTTCCAAATGAGAGTGTTTGCGAAATAATGATGAGCTGTTTTCGTTTTTGTTTTCAAGTTAGACTGAGTGGTATGTAAACTATTATATTGACCAAATATTAAGGTTTATTTGTTTTTTATTATGTGTATAGAATCTGTACGTTCTTATGCTGAGCACTGCTTGAAAGATATTATAAAACTTCTTTTCTCAAGATTAGTTACATTAAGTAAAGAACAAGGAAATTCTTCCAAAGTTTGTTAAACCAATTTAAATACTAATAATAAGAAATTATAGAAAATTTAAATTATTTTTTTAATTCTACAGAAGTTAGGCCTTAATATGAAGAATTATGGTGATTCTCTAAGTAATTGTAATGACGATGAGGAAAATACAGAAGAGATAGTTAACTCAAATGAGGAAACAAAATTACCTGTTGTTGCAACTTTACCCGAGGTAAATTAATTCTATATTATTTTAATCAAATAAAAAAATGTTTTTTTTTTAAATAATGTTTAATTCACTTTGCATTGTATTGGGTTTCTATATTACTCGTAGACATTACTAGTGATATATTTTGTATACTATATGTTAAGATTATAATATTTATTATAAAATATAAATGTTCTTAATAATATTTTAGTTTTTAAATTTATCTATGAGTTTTTAAACTCTAAATTGAATGTAATGCCATAATTTAAATTCTGGTGATAAAATTTTTCTATTAAATAGATAACAAGTATGTCTGGGTGTGGTACATTTTAAAATTTACCTTCTATTCAATTTATTTAAAAATAATCTATTTTAATATGGTAAATTTAATTCTAGGTCTATTCTATATTTGTTTGAATAACCATTTAAATACTAAATTTTTAAAATAAAATATAAATTATTTTAGGTATTTAGTTAAAAGTAATTTCTTATAAAATATTAATTAAAACTTAATTGTTTTAAATATTAGTGCGATGTCAATGCTATCACTGAACCTACGGAGTTAGGTGTAGGAATTGAAAGAGAACCTTCTCCATACTGTGAAATGTTGACGGAAGAATTACCATTATTAAAAAATGGTAAACTATGATTGACAAAAAAATAAACTTTCTATTATTTTTAACTTTTTTCTAATAAATTATTATTTAAAAGAAAATGTAACAGATTTGAATGATGAAAATCATGTAGTAGATGAAAATAAAAAGGAATATGTGAATGGTCAAGGTGTAAGATTTACAACCCAAATACCTATACCATATACTAGTAAGTAAATTTATTTTACTTGCAAATTTTTTGATTTTAAGTTATCTGTTTATCTTCTTATTATTCATAAATGTGTGTACTACTGTTATATGTATATTGTGCTTTTAGGAGTTCCGTATAACAGTGGCTGTGTATTAGAGCTCATTAAGTTTCTAGTAGATTCTTGTGATCAACAGAATCAACATAATACTGAAGTAATGATTGGTGTTGGGCTCAATCTTTTGATTATAGCTTTTGAAGTTGGTGCAAATGCCATTAAATGTCATACCAACATGCATTCCATTATAAAAGATCAACTATGTCGTAATATACTTTCTGTATGTATAATGTACATTAATTAAAATTAAAATTTGGTTTTATGTATTAGTTATTAAAAATGTATTTATATTTATTTAGCTATTATCTTATGAGAAAATGCCAATATTCAGTTCTAGTCTTCGACTTGCTTTTTTAGTGTTTGAATCAATGCGTCAGCATTTAAAATTTCAACTGGAATATTATATGTCAAGTTTAATAAACATTGTCGTTAATGAAAATTCTAAAATTCCATATGGCAAAAAAGAAATGGCTCTAAGTATATTTTATCATTATAATTAAATTATTATCAAAAATATTGTTTAGTTTTAACATATATATTTGTTTTGTTGTTGCTGTAGAATGCCTTGTTCAACTATGGAAGATTCCAGGTTTAGTTACCGAACTTTATTTGAATTATGACTGTGGACTTTATTGTTCAGATATATATGAAGATATCACTAAACTTTTATCAAAAGTAAGTTAATCAAATAAAGTTGCACTTTTAACAAATTCTATTTCATTTAATTAACACAATTTGTGTTTAATATATCTGTTGTAGAATGTTTTTCCATTCAATGATATTTATAGTACCCATTTATTATCAATGGATGCTCTTTTAGCTGTAGTTGATTCTATTGAACGACATTGTCATAATCGCACTCAATTCACTCAAAAATCAGAAAGTAGTTCAACTTATGATGGTAAAATTTAAATATTATTCCATGTTATGATTTTATTATATTTTATATATTATATGGTTTTAGTTTCTGAAGATCAAAAATCAGATTCTGAAATTCAATTTGAGCGGTGGCAACCAGACTTTTCAATTAATATACCAAGCCATGAAGAATTAATGGCCATCAAGAGAAAAAAAAAGGTTTAAAATAAAGCTGTATACTTATTTACATTTAAACTGGGTGTATAATTTAATATTATTGATCAATCTTTAAATGGTTTAAATTATTTAATTGTATATTTCTAGTTTCTACTAAAATACATTGTCCCATACAGAATATTAAAAAAAATATGTTAATATTTTTTAGTTACTTACCTCTGGTACAGAAAAATTTAATACAAAACCAAAGAAAGGAATAGAATTTTTACAAGAACATGGTCTTTTATCAACGCCATTAAACCCAGTCGAAATTGCTATGTTTCTTAAAGAGAATCCTCTATTAGATAAAAAAATGATTGGAGAATATATTAGCAATAGAAACAATGTAGATGTTCTAAACAGCTTCATTAAGTATGTATAATTACCAAAACTGTGTTATTTAATATTATATAATTAATAATAAATCTTCTTTTAAAAAGTTCTTTTGATTTAAATGGTACTCGTGTTGATGAAGCATTAAGGATGTATCTTGAAGCATTTCGATTACCTGGAGAGTCTCCTCTAATTTCATTTGTCTTAGAACCATTCACAGAATATTGGCATGTAAGTTATAAATATTGATATATTTTGTTTAATAGTTCAAAACATTGAATCTGTAAATTTTAGAAATGTAATAGTGAACCTTTTGCAAACGCTGAATGTGCATTTTTGTTAGCCTATGCAATTATTATGCTAAATGTTGACCAACACAATCAAAATGTTAGACGAATAGATCAACCTATGACAACTGATGCATTTAAACGAAATTTAAAAAAACTGAATGGCGGTGAAGATTTTGATCAAACAATGTTGGAAGAAATTTACAAAGACATAAAGTAAAATTAACAATTTTAATTTTGTTAACTATAACTATCAAAACTTATTTTTTAGATCAAAAGAAATTGTTATGCCTGCAGAACATAGTGGTGCTGTTTTAGAAAATTATTTATGGAAAGTATTATTACGGCGTGCAGCAAGTAAAGATGGTTCTTACATTCAAGCACCGAGTGGAGTTTTTGATCATGAATTGTTTTCTATTTGTTGGGGTCCTACTTTGGCCGCATTGAGTTTCATATTTGATAAATCTAATCATCAAGCAATTTACACAAGAACTATCTTTGGTCTTAGGTAACATTCAGTTTAATGTGTGTTATAAAGAAATAAACGTGTAAACAAATATTATATGATTTAAAAATTTAAATAATACTAAGCCATGAGTATTAATTTTTTTTTTCTTTGTGACAGTTTGGAAAAATAAAATATTTCAAATCATATAGTATTTATTTATATATTGTTATTAAGTAATAATCAATATAATTATTTTTTTTATTTAATTTTTACGTTATTAAAAGGTACTTGTAGTTAATTATCGCAACATTATTGCAGACTAACTTATTAATCTATACTTGGTTCCCACAACAAACTAAGATAGTATGGCTTGGTAATAGAACCAATATTTGTGGACTTCTGGTCCAAGTTTCAATACAGAGTTTTCGTGGGGGGAAACAGAACCTCAAGCTCTAAAAACCCATAAAAACCATCGCTAAAATTATTCATGAATCATGCATACAATTTTACTTATCCTAAAACTGTTATTCACATTTAAAATATAGAACTATTATGTAGAATATTATCTATTATCGGATACAGAAACATATAGAAACAGCTCATAAACATCTCAATAGTTATCTGATTGAGCTTATGTAGCAAGAATCACACATCAGTTCATTTATTAGAATTAGTATAACATTGGTTACTACATAAAACATATTAGGATTATATACAACAGTTTATACTATATTTTATTTTTAAACTGTTATTCATCTACTATGTTTACCAATTGAAAATGTATTTTTCTTTATAATTATTTATCTACATTATTTTATGCTATATCTATTTATCATAATTCTGTCAAATTATATGTAATTTAATAATAGCATGACAATAGTTAATAATAAAACGGGTAGTCACTATCACTGACATTTGATTATCGTGGTAGTCTCAATAACTGACAAGTACCAATCAAAAGAAGAAGTATTAGTTATTTTCATGTACACTTATATATTATATTTTAGAAAATGTGCATTTATTTGTGCTCATTATGGGATGTGTGCTGAATTTGACAGTTTAATCATGTCATTGTGCAAATTTACCAATTTACAGAACAACTCAGATGTAAGTTTATTATCTATAATTTTATGTAATTCAAAATATTACATAATACAAATTATTATTATATAAACATTTTTATAAAAAATTATTTATAATTAAAATGGTTTTTTTAAAAAATCTGAATATTACTCATTTGTGGCTTAATAGATAAATAAAATATTGTGTGGTTTATAATTTGATTATCCTTTAAATTTAGTGTCCAGAAAATGTTACAATACTATTTGGAAGTAACCCAAAAACTCGTTTGGCTACACGCACTCTTTTTAGTCTAACTCATATGTACGGTGATATCATCCGAGAGGGTTGGTCGAGTATATTTAACATAATTTTACAATTATATAAATGCAATCTGTTGCCGACTATTTTAGTTGAGGTATATCATACTTATTATTTTTTATATATTCAAAATTACAATTATTATATTTTTCCAGTCTGAAGATTTTCTTGAACTAAGTGGTAAAGTATCATTGATACGCGAAGCAGTGCCTCCTGGGTCACAGAAATCAGAATCCAGTTTGTTCAGCTCACTTTACTCTTATATAACTTCTGGCGGTGGTAAGCTTAAACATTATCAGATTTATTAATTGAAGTTAAAAATTCATGATTTAATTTAATAAATATATATAGAGACTATTAATCATAAAATACAGACATCAAACGAAGCAGAATTAATTAATACATCTAGAGATTGTATATCTGAAAGTCGATTAGAAAGTCTAATTACAGAATCTAAGTTTCTTACTATAGAATCATTAGAGGCTCTAGTTAAAGTAAGTTTATCAGTATATAAGTAGATTTTCACTAAACATTTTGTAACATTTGTTATTTAGGCATTAATTGGTACATTTTATAAACCAGAAGGCGTATTAGCACTTGGGTCTCGAGAAAACGAAAACTCGGCTAGTTTCTTATTAGAAATGCTTCTTAAAATAGTTTTACAAAACAGGTGAGAATGTGAGAATTGCTTTGTTCAAAAAATGAATTATGTTTATAAATTAACTTAACGTAATAATCACAGAGACAGAGTTAACACCATATGGGAAGCAGTTAAGCAACACCTATACAATCTTATAACAGGTGCTGTAGATCATAATCACAAGTTTCTTTTGGAGCGCACTGTTGTTGGATTAATGAGGTTGGCATCCCGACTTATGAGACGCGAAGAAATAAGTTCAATGGTAAACTTTTTACACCAGTTTCTTTTTAACTTTTTAATTGTCCATTTTTTATTTTGTAATCTCATTTAGGTATTACAATCATTAAATGTCCTACTATTACTCAATGCAGATGCTTTACTAGTAGTGGGCCGTCAAATAGCTTTTGGAATGTATGAATTATTAAAAATGTGTGCTGCAAATATTCATACCAGAGACGATTGGACATTAATTTTCTCTATTCTAGAATATGTCGGTGCTGGAATTACTGTATCTAAAGGCCACAATATAGGTACGGCATATATTCTATTTAACCTGTCACCACTCACATGTGTTTTGACGCTGCATTTATTTGTGTAGGATTAAAATTTACCTCGTGATTTTTTGTACACCATTAGTAGAAACTGTTTATTATGAAACTGGTTATAGTCACAAACTAGGTTTAATGACGTTTAATTAAAGGTCCCAACAATACTTTTATATTGGAATAATCCTATGTTTTAATTTGTAAAAACCAGCAGACAACTAATAAATAATAACAATACTACTAATAAGCAATTATCGAATTGCATTAGATTACCACAATGAAGAGAATGAAAATAATTCCAAAAATAACTTAAAATATATTCCCATATGTTATCAGAAGATACTAAATGTTATATACACAATACTATAAGATTGGTTTCAAATGTACATTTCAAGTTTGTTCGGGATAAATATTTACACCGTGCGAGTGGTGATAGATTAAAAGTTTAATATATTTTCCAATTAACAAATATAATTTTATAGATAATCGATCTGATAATGAGGTTGTAAGTGTGAGTGATAGTAATGATGATAGCGGTTTAGATGTCAAATCAATTAATAATATTTCTACACCTTCATCTTCGCCACTAGATGGTAAATCAGAGTGGTTAAAGGTAATATTATAATCATTTATTATAGGCACACAAAATATAGTAAGTATTTCCAATGATTAATATTTTAATATAGATTGAATCAAATGAAGGGGTATTAGAAATTTGGCCAGAGTGTTTACCATTTAAACGCCATGACGCTTTTTCATTTGTCAAATGCTGTGAATGTCTGGCATTTTTGGTGCGTAATATCGCTCATATTACTCCATATAATTTTACTAAATGTGTTTCTGTCATAAAAAATTTTGCACGGGCCAGTTTACAAACAAGTATGAAGAGTTTTCAGTGTTTTAGTGTTATACAATTTTTAAACTTTTGTAGTCATATGTTCAAATATATTTATTATAGAAGAAAAAAATATACGACCAAAATTTAGTGATAAATCAAACAAAAATAAAGCGTACAACCCATATGATGCTGATGATAGTGATCCGGAAGACATTCCGAGTAGTTATACACAGGTCTCTATCCAGGTATTTCTTTCATCCATAATTTAATATGCTGAATACGTATATTATACTTGATCACACAATAATTCAAAAATGGTTTCTTTAGTTGCTGGACCTTATGCACACGTTGCACACAAGTACAGCGGACATATACCGATGGTGGGCAGAAGAAAACCCAGACACAGAGCTTATATCATTATGGAACCATGGGTGGTGCCCCTTACTTCAAGGCATAGCTAGTCTATGCTGTGATTGCCGTCGTGATGTAACTTAACTCAATTATATTTCACACAATTTTATTTGTATACATTTGTAATTGTACCTAGGTAAGAATGAGCGCTATTACATACTTACAACGTGCTCTTCTAATGCATGACTTGGCCACTCTAAACAGTGATGAATGGGAAGCATGCTTTCGGAAAGTATTGTTCCCTTTAATGAATAAACTCTTAGAGTGTAGTATGAACATTGATCCAAGTGGCTTAGATGAAACTAAAATGCGATCTACCACATTATTGTCAAAGGTTGTTACAGTTTTCTCTTAACTATTGAATATTTTTCTATTGATAATAAATCAAACACCTATACTTTAATGGAATATGTACATTTTACTATAGGTATTTTTACATCATTTGACTCAGCTTCAATCGTTACCGACATTTGTAGATCTATGGATAACTGTTCTCGAACTGATGCAAAAGTTTATGATATCTGATAATAGTGATACTTTGGTATAAAATTCAAAATCAATAATAATATATTTCTTAGACTGTTTTTTTTCTTTTTATTATTATTATTTTAATTATTTCAATATTTATATTAACAGAGTGAAGCTATTCCAGAAACACTGAAAAATATGTTATTAGTAATGTTAAATGGAAAAGCTAACAGTAAAGAAGAATTACATAGTAAGCAGATTTTCTGGGATGCCACTTGGACTAAAGTAAATACATTTTTGCCTCAAATGTCAAATGAGTTAATTCAACATCATAATAGCAGACAAGTCACCGACCAAGACCACAGTAATTAATAAAATAAATATTCATCTTTCAAAACCGTTAATTTACAACAATTTTTAATTATTTTATTAGACTGTCAACTATCAAATGCCACTTCAGATTTACCTGATGTAACAGCCATTCCTCTAGTACCATTTGCACCAGGTGTTGTTATGCCTCTTGAATCGCCAAATCCTTTAAAAGTAACACAGGATGCTATAAATCATCAAACTATATCTAATCCGATACTTTATCAAAACAATGATCAAAGCAGTTTAATAGGTATTCAGAATTTTGACAATCAGACTCTATATATCGAGTAAATAAATATATTACTTATTACTATTTTACATAACCATTGATTTTCAATGCAAAAAACCTAATCAGCTTTTCACTTTAATCATTTGTCTTATTTAGGGATGATTCCAATGACGAATTAATTGCAGTTATTACAACGGTTCCAATATCTCAGCCTTACATACCACCAATTAAGAGTGAAGAAACAGAAAATTGTTAGTAAAAATAATTAGTTAAACATGAAAATTATTTTTCCACTATACAATGATTAAAAGGGGAAAATAATTTTATGGAAATTAATGTTTATAGTATTTCTTATTCAGTGATTATAGGTATATTACATAATATAATATATAATAATAGTGAGAGTTATTTATTTTTCAGGTAATAGCCAAACCAGTTGTCAACCAGCCGAAACACAGAATTAAAACAATATCGTACTGTTATATCCTTATTCATTTTATGTTATACATGTCATTTATTTGATTATTCATATGTTCTTATTATTGTATATATTATATATCTTATTATGAAGTTAATTATTATTTATCCTTTAACTAGAGAATATAATATTATACTATACTTTTCCCTAAAGTAATCATTTTTTAATTAAATTTAGCAAGGTAATTTAGTTAAAATACTAAATGTAAAAATTAATTTTTCACTACTGAATAAAACTGCAATTTAGAATGGCCAAAACAAAATTTAGGTGTAGGCTCTTCAGTATTTACTGACTAAATGAATACTAAATCAGCTACTGAACTTTGCATACTATGTTTTATTTACAATTAAATAAACATGCTACTCTATGGTGGAATCAAAGTAATCGGGAGCAAGTGCAAGAAAAAATGATAAGAGGATTTTGAAAAATATGACATATTTTACCTTTGTATTGCTGTAAATCAAATTATTATTTAAAATTTAAATACAAATTAAAAAATGATGAAAATTTCTGAAGGGGTTTGAACCACCAAAATTATTCCTGCACTTACCTCTGATATTGGACTAATATGAGGCCCAATATATTATCAATTTATGTGCAATTGTAAACATGTTAAGAAATAACTATAGATAAATAAAGGACTAAACTTTTAAACATACTCTTAACTACCAATAAAAAAAATAAAATATGGACAAAGATCATTTTCAAATTTTTTACATACGTCGAAATTCAAAAAATTCACAAAATGTTGAATAAAATCCACATCTAGTATTTCACAGATGTTTTAACCATATTGAGTCGACAAGTGACATAATTATGGGCCAAGACAACTAAATTGTGTTATGAACTCCCATATAAAAAAAAAAAAAGTAAATACTTCAAATTCAGATTTTAAATTTACCGAGTTTCAACAGTGAAAATTCAACCCATTATCAAAAAGATAGGTAATATGCTATATAGTAGATAATTTATGTCAATATTATTTTTTGTCATACTGAAATCTGTAATTTTATTTTCTCAACATTTATATCCTTTCTCAATAATTTCTAGAAAAGTCTATAAATGTATGCAATACGAATTGACAAATGACATTAAACATTTAAATTATGAAAAATAATTTAAAAGTCTCAAAAATTATAATATGATTAATTGTATAGTTAATACTAATATAAACCAATAAATATACAAATGAGTAGTTGGCCAAAAAAATTATTTATTTAATTTATAAATTAATTATGTTATATTTTGTAAATTCTTTTTTTTTAAAGTTCATATTAAAATTTACATTTGAAATTCAAATCATTAAGTACCCATAGTGAAGCATTAAACTTCTAAATCATATTTTAATTTAATTATAATAATACATTTACGTATTGTACAATTAATTATTTTACATGTACATATCATCATCAAAATCTGGCGGTCTTATATGATCTGGGTATGGTGGTCTAATATCACGGTTACCGTAGTCATCTCCAAAACCTGGGTTTATTTGATCAAACCGGGCCAATGGATTTCTAAGTAGTTAACATTATTAGTAAAAATTACAATAATGTATAAGGTTATACCTATATATATATTATACCTTGCAGGGAATGGCGATACTCTAGGTACTCTTGACCTTCTAAATGGATCAAAAAGCATGCCTCCACTACCAGGAAAAGTTCTTCCTAAAGGATCTAAATCGGGAAGACCATATGGTTGTGATCCACTATTTCTCATGCCCATACGTCTATTAAAATATTTTGACAAATCCCTATACAATCATAAAACAATTACATCTATAATAGTACAGTTCATAATAATTTAACATAAAATTATGTAGTAACAAAATGAACCTAAATTTGTTATATTTATTTTCATTATAATTCTTACCGTTTCAGATTTCTCTCTTTTCGTGACATACTCAAACCATCTCAATATATTTTCTCTCATTTTTCTACTATCAAAGCTAGTTCTTATGTACTTTTATGTTATCTTATCTTCTCTTGCCACTCCACTCATCCATCTAAGAATCCTCATCTCTGTTTATATCCAACACTCCAAACCATACATCATAGATAAAACCATCTATGTTGTAACCACCAAACCTTTGTAGAACTTACCTTTAAATTTCTTTGAAATGCTCTTATTGCATGAAACACCTGACACTTTTCTTCCTTTAAGACTTACTCCACTTCTTTCTCACTCTAAATCCTATATTTTATATCTTTTTCAAAGCTACCATAATTTTGTACAAAATATTCTGGCTACTTAGAACTCTCAACTTCAACTATTATGTCAATTTAATGTATATCTGTACGCAACAATAAGTCATTGCTAACCATAATAATACATTTCAAACACTTTCCCGCTTTTTCAATTATTATGAAAACCTCTTGAAAAATTAAAAAATTACCTTCCTAACTTTCACAAAAGTTACTATACTTAAAAAACAGATTAATTTTTCTGGAAGTTATTCAGATAAAAAAAAAAAAATTGTAAAACAAACACATTAAAATAAAACACTAAAAATACCATAATGCCCATTGGGCTTTCCACCCATAGGAGGCTTAGTACAATAATAAAAAATAAATGAAACTAAATAAAACACTTACGGAGACACCTCAATAGAAGATAAGTTTGAATCTACTGAATCTGTTTGAGTGCTGACTACTTTTTTTTCCTCATTTTCCAACTGCATTGGTTCAATAAGGTCTTTTTCAAGCAAATCAACAACTACATTAAATTTTTTTTTTTCGTCATTATTATGTGTCATATCATTCATCATCTGCACTATATCATTAATATCTCCAAAGGAAGTACTTGACACTTTTTTTGTCATTACATTCTAATAAATTGATGCATATTTATAGTTACCTAATATTAACTATTAATTATATTTTTTAAATGTTATACTCACATAGAAATTGAAAATAAGAATATCTCCTGTTTTAATACCATTTAATAGAAACAATTGCTTATTACGTATGTAACGAAACTTGTATGTTATATTTTGTGACCAATTTGGGGGTAAATTATCAGTTGCTTCTTCATTTTCATCGATCTTTGATTCATTTTCCTTTCAAAAAAAAAAATCAAGTTCACTTAATTATCAATGTAGGTTTAAGATTTAATAAATACCTATTTATTATAAAATAAAAAAATAGTTTATTACTTTATTCTCACAATTACAGTTTGTACACTGGTTGTACTATATATCTAAAACGATTCTGAGGTAATAAAGATTAAACATTTTGCTGACTATTTTTATTTTTTTTAAAGATATTTTTAGATAAATAGTTTATAATATAAAGTACTTACACATACTAGAAATTTGCAGAGAATTAAAAGACAATGCAACGAAAATCATATTCCTACATACTTAAAAAATATATTGACAAATTCAAGTAAGTGTTTAACACTAACTCTTAAATCTACTCAGACTGTCACCTAAATATATTACAAAACCAGATTATTTAACACAACAGTTGAGATAATATCATTTTGTCCTTTTTCTTTTAATTTTGTTAGGTATTATTTTCTTTAAATGGTATTAAATATTAATTATTTCCAACAAATTTTACCTCATTTTTAAGTCCAAGCATTTGAAAATCATTTTTCAGCATCACCCAATGCACTAGTATAATCAAATTGTCCTCAACCTTTTTAACATCTTTTTTAAACATATCAAAAGTCAGTGACCAAAATTTAGGATAATTTTCAGTCATGATGGTTGAGACTATTTTTCTAAATTTGGTAATATAATAAAAATTTTAATTTTAAATAGAAAAATTCCACATTCACACCATAGACAAGAATACTAGGATTCAAAATACGCAGTGTTGAGTACCTGTAGGTAAAATATAATATATCTAATAACTGAATAATTTATTAATGAATAATGAATTGATATTTAAACGTCAAACCACAAAATAGCAATGTAATTTGTTATTACCACTGAACTGTACAGATATGTATTAAAATCATAGATAAATAAGACAACAGCATATATCTGTGATTAAAATAAACTAAACGGGCGATAAGCAGTCGTCATGATACCAGAGGTGCGTTGCCTAAACGGCCAGACTGACGATAGCCCGTCGGATTATCTGATAACGACATGCGGCCAAAGTTTTTACCATCAGAAGGCGACGCAAAAACCGTTATCAGCAATTTATCAATTATCATACATTCACCTATAGACTATGAGTATACTTCTAGGTGATAACGACTAATGTTGTATACGACCATACAAGTGACGGTTGGAGTCTGGTATTAGCTTTTTAGACAGAACGAGCACTAAATTAATGCCTTATTTTTTTTAGCTTACCTGCGGTTAAGACGTCGCACAGGACTTTAGGTAGACAGCTCGGGTCATCATTATATATGACTTGCTGCTGGTTTGAAATAAATTTGACGAATTGCAGAGCCATTTTGCCTATAAGTAGGTTGTTTATCGGGAATTCATGATAGTCCTAAATGTGGCGTCCTCAATAGCTTAATATCAATATCAAAGAAGAATTTTATTTTTGAAAAACTATGCTGTAATCAACAAATTTATTATCTTATCATTACATTAGAAAATAGATAAGGTCTAAAAGCTGACCCCTGATGCACAATTACTATGACATCAAAATCCTCTGTTATACGTTTATACCACACATATTTTTAGATTCCGAACGGAGCGAAGAATGTACATTGGTTTTACAATGATGTTTATAATTATTTATATTTTTTAACTATGAACGACTTTTCTACCTAAGATTTTCGAGAGTAGTTAGCACTTTCCCGAAAGGAAATCTGACTGGATTGTTTTTTGTGGTAATCGGTAAAAAGGACCAAGGAAAAAGAGCAAAAATTTAAATTTTAAAATATATTTATAATTAATTATATAAGGTGTGTATTCACACCAATTGTATTTAAAACGTCTTATTTGGACAGCCAAATAAATTATAAGCGCCAATATACCAAAGCGTTTCATAATATCCTAAAAATGGCAAAAAAGAAGGCAGAGAGCTTATGTTACCATTAGATCGTTCCTCCCGAAAAAAAGGTGCCCATATTCTTCATAATAAATGTGGCCTGATAATAATTTGAAATAGCCTGCAAAAATGTTTGCACCAACAACAAAAAATTGAAATGGCGTCTCTGAGATTATACAGAAAAAAAAAAAATTTATTTTGAAAAATTGTTTTTTATTATTATTGTACTCAAATGATACAATTAATATCTTCATTTTTATGTGGGGTATAAGTTTATGTATTAAGTACAATATAACTAGAATAAAATTGTTATTAAAGGAAACTTTTGGTGACTATCATAGGTGATCTTTTCATACTTTATTATGAAATATAATTAGTGGTCAAATTTTAAAGTAAAATAACATTTTATAACTAAAAATGATTTATATTCCATACTTTCATGTTATTATTTAAGTGAACCAAATTTAATCTGTCTACAATCATAAAGTGTTCATGTTACAAATAAATTTAAAATGGAATTTCTCAAATCAAACAAAGATTGGGAAAATATAAGATTTTAAGGATACTCTTATATAGACAAATACAAAAATAAAAATAATTTTACATGGTCATGTTCCAAAAAATTACAACAAATTGTGTGGGAATACCAAGAACTATTTTCCCAAACACTGATTCTTTGAATTAAATTAGTTGCAAAGATATCTATTAAAAATCTAGTTGAGATTTATGTTCAAGGTATTTCTGAGTTAGATGAGCTTTCCAGGAGATTTAGTATTTGTACACGTGGATTTTAAAATGGCCATGATTCTGACAATTAAAAATGTTTTAGGAGACCATATAACAATCTTTTTTTTTCTGTAGATAATTTTGTATTATATTTTAAATTTTGAATTTTTGAACTTTTTTCCAGGATTTATTTTATATTTACATTCATATAAACATTTCTGAAATTTAAATGAGATATTCAATTTTAGGGGAGGACGTTCCTCCTGAAATATTTTTTGATTGGTTATTCGGTTTATTTTAAAGTATTGTATCAATCTAAATTTTAAATATTAGATTATAATTCAAACTATAAGTACCTCTCGCCCTAATTTTTTTTCTAGCTGTAGTCAGGCACGTAGCCATAATTTTCCTTGGGAAAAAGGGTACAAATATAAAATATATCACCAACTACAAATAGTTGTACCAATAATCTGATTTTTTGGTATGAAGCTTAAATTTGGGGGAAGAAGGGTCCAGATCCCTTGGACCTCTGGCTCTCTGGCTATGGTATTAGTAAGTATAGGTACCCTCTTTAACTATCAAATTAATTCTTATACAAATTATACCTATTTTGATAATTCCAATTTTTAGTGTACCTACAGTATGCCTGAGAAAATACCTTCTCTTTTGGCTTTTTTTCTTATTTCTTAAATTGGAAGTGGTGATTTTCTGTCTTATCTTACACACGTGCAAAGTTGCAAAATAGAAATTTAAAAGCGTTCTGTTTCTACCATACTGATTGATCTAGTAAAGGTGAAGCGATTAGAATTTTGAAAACAGATTTGAATCAACCTTCCTACTTTTTTGATTTTATCTACCAATTTTAACTTATAGCTATTAAGTTTATTAAGGAATTGAAACTCCTTCAGAATATTAATTATACTTTCTCTATGAATACAGTCATAGGTTTTTTTTAAATTGATGGAAAAAAACATGTAGGTAACTGAATAATTATATTTATAATTGGTATATAAAAATTATTTTTATTTTTATTATTTTTAAAATACCTAGTCCAAATAAATCAATATTTCATAGCAATCACAATTTTCTTTATGTTTACTTTTTATTGTTTTATAATATAAAACAAAATTAGGTACAATAAATTAATCAAAATTGAATTCAGTTATAAGTCTAGGAGAAATGTACTGATAAATGTATCAAAATAAATGGTTAAAAACACCAAAAATAAATACATTTTAATAAGCTAAATAATATTATTGGTTTATTTTATTAACCTAATTCAAGCTATAAGTAATCTAATCTATTTTTTTTTTTTTATACTTTTATACATTGTAAAATAAACTAAAAATGGTAAATCAATATTTTAGTCAAGTCATCATCAGTAATTTTTTATTAGAAGTTCAATGTGAGAAGTCAAATTTGCCACATGAATTTTTTCCTGAAAACAAATAATTTTAATGTTATCATATATTAGCAATTATCTAATGTTGATAATTGGTTTAATAAGACATGAATATTTTGAAATAAAAATATAGTAATATGATCACTAAAAATATTGTGGACTCGTTTTTAAAATTATAAATTATCACTTTGCTGTTTGTATTAAAACACAATATTATAAGAGGAATGTTACCTCGAGAGTGGTTTCAATACTCCGCAGTCCTAAAATACCATTTTCCAAGGTGGTCTCGTTAAGCACAGCTGTATAAGGTACACCAAGACAGTCAGAATCCACAAACTGTGACTCCAGGGACTTTTTTGCCAAATTTGGAGATATCAAAGTGGACACGCCAGATTTTTTTAAACTCTGCCCTAAGTACACGGAGAGTTGTTTTAGCTCATCAGCTTTTTTAGCATCTGCAATCAATGTTATTATTTAATTAAATAAAAATATATAGGTATAGTCTATCTTATAAAAGAAAGGTACAGTTTTGCGCATGCCGACAGAGCTCCCTCCACACCACCACCATCAAATTTTACAGAGTAGAAGCGAGGTCTAAACGAGGAGCGGCATGAAAGGATGCGCATCACTAACCGGTTTTCATTAAAACACGGTACCCTTCTTTCGTGAGATAGAGTATAGGTACTTTATAAGTAGGTACTATAGTATAGTAATATTATTAGAACAATTATGATATGTAAAATGGCTGACTTGATAGTGGCGCAGCAAACATTATCTTATAAGGAGCTAATTTTCGATGAAACCGAAACACTTCCCTAATATCATTGTGATATGGTAATTCAGCATATCCATCACACAGGAATACCATGAACGCTTTCTCAAGACTGGTTTCACTTACCACTAAGTGGGGTAACACTTTTCGTTTTCCTACTCTTGCCTATGATAAAAAACAATATAGTATTATTATTACAATTAATAATAGCCATCAATAAGCACTAGTCGTACAGGTACATGTTGTACCTGTTCGACTATATAAATATAGTTATATACAAATTCAAATAGCCTAATGTTTCTAGATTCTGAGGAATTTATAATAAATTATGTGTATATTATGGGCAATATATACAATTTGGACGTTTTTACAATGCTCGAATGTCAATCATATGGTGGGCAAAATAGACATTATTCACTGATTACCTAGTATATAATTAATTAATATATGTATATACTATGATGTTTTATTAGATTAAATCAGATTATTATTATAATATATTAGAGATTATATATTTTTTTTTCTTCTACTTATTGTTGCATGTACTGTTTCCATGGCATTTTGATATACATAGTTGCCTCCTATGCACTTATATTATTTAAACACTGCATGCTGTGCCACTATACTAATGATACTCTACTATTTTTCCTCTACCCGAGTTTAATAGTGGAATTTTTCGTAAATTAACAGAAATCAAAAAATTTATACCACCATTTATACCAACGTTTAATATAAGAAATCATTTGAAAATCAAAAGTTGATAGTCATTTCATCCCCAAAAATTAAGATGATGTAACATTTAAGATCTGTTTCTTTCTCAAATTGTAAAAACATATTTTTTTTTTTTAAAGTCTATACTTTACAAAAGAATGAGTGTTCCATGATAAAATAATCACCCTGTATTTATTGTACTGCCTATAGTTATAGTATAATTGAATGGGTGAATTGAACATAATACAGACTATACCGATAACTAGTTTCTAAGTAACAGCCCTTTTAAATTCTACTAATCCGTGTGAAAACCAATGTTATAACGTAATGTGGTTAGGTTATTCCCTAGATAACATCATTTTTCACATGGATTGGTATAATTTAAAAGAGCTGTTACTTAGAAACTATTTATTAAATATATATGTAAATACATTAAAATTTTCAGAAAAAAACACTACAAAATGGTTATCTTAAAATTTTCCGAAAAAAATAAAATTGAGTTATTTTTTATTAAAAAAAAAAAAAAAATGTAATACAAATATAAATATTTAGAATCCTCATCCTTATAAGTTATACATAAAAATAAAAAAACAGAATTTGATTATCTCTAGAAATATTCAAGGAGTACATTGAGACAGCCTGTATATTATGACGTTTTAAATAAGAAGTTATTTCTGTTAAAAAAAATGATACTATAAGTTTTCTCAAGTCAGTTTTCAGTATTTCTATATTGTGTCTCCTGCTTATGACTATAATAGTTGTGCGCCCGCCCTTAATTTGAACACTGAATATAAGTTTTGAAAAAATTAATTTAACCTGTAAAGTATATTTAAAAATAATAATATATAACTATAGGTACTGTTTAAGCCATTTAAGGAGAGTATATAATGTTCAGTAATTCTGGAAAATTTGTATGTATGTCTTATTATGTTAAGTACAGTGTAGAAATTAATAGTTAGGTGCACTTACTAAAAATGTTTCTTGTTCCACCAGATCAAGGTTATCAAACATCTTGGTATTGACATTATGTATGGTTTCGATTGTTTCTTGACCCCAAGGAAATTCGGCTCGGATTTCTGTGCTCTCTAATCCATTATCATCAGTACATATTTCGGTTAATGAAAACCTACCAGGATTAGCTGAGAACTGAAAAAACATAATATTATAATAAAATATAGGTTATGAATTACATATTTGAATGAACCATAACTTTACAGGAATAAGTACCCTGACATTTTTGTAGACTATCAGGGTCCAACTCCTTTCAACTTTATGCCCTATGACTTTTTAAAAAAAAATACTTGGTAGATAAATTTTAAATATTAAAGATTTAACATACAAATATTTATTCTTTGAATAAGACAAGGAACTACGGTAATATAACCCAATTTATTTTATTATTTTTTATTTATTGTACCTATACCTATAGCATATATTTTTGATTTGTTTTTATTTATTTATTTGCCTTTAACATTGTTATTTAGAAAATAAGCTAGTTTATATATTTCTAGAGTTGTTTCAAGGTGTATTTGAAATTTAAATTTATTTTTTTTTTTTATTTTTTAATTGAAATATATTTACACTATTTTCTTATTTATTATATATATATATTTAGTAGTAATCATAGCTCCTTATCTCCAACACAAGCTGCCTATGCTTACATGAGTTATGTTAATCAATTCTGTAACAAATTTAATTTTAATGTATATTAAATATTTTGTTTTTAATATTTTAATAAAAAAAAAAATACACATTTTAGCATACAATTTCCCCCTGAAACTTAACGCATTCATTTATGTACAACTTAAGTCACTTAAATTTGGATACCCAATAAAAAACTCAACCTCTACTTATAATCAAGCATTATTCTTACTTTTCTCCACCAAATTTTCCGCTGTCTCTGCCAATGATAGAAGTATTGTTGGTTTTCTTCTGGTATACAAAATGCAATATATTTTAATCTTGTATAATTTCTTGGGCTATATAAATAAGATATATTTTAAACCAATTATAATGAAACTATAAATGTTTTAACTATAAAACAACAAAAAATAAAAACGAGGACAAATAATTACCATCCTATTCAACAATAATTAACAAGCCAATAATATTTATACATGTGTATAAATGTAGATTCATTAAATAAACTTACAACTCTTCATAATATTCCAAACTTTTTCACTAAGTATGAGTCTACAAACTATATTTCCTGTTCTAATTTTTATAATTTAAGATATTCTTACTGTAGGTAATTAACAATTTAACATGTCTGCTGTGTTGTCTCCTTTTATTTCAAAAGAATAGGAGAATGTTAAACATCAAATGAAAACAAGGCTCAGTTCATTAATAATGCATTAGCATTAACATGATTTTAAGACATAGAATTTTTAACTTTTGACTAATTTAATGAACTGAAAAAATTATTATTAGAGAAATAAAATGTTTATAAAATAATTTATTGGAAAATTAATTTATAAATAGATCATTATTTTAAGAATAAAATAGCATATAAATGTAAATGCCTAAGTATGGAAACCAATCAAATAAACTCCTTTCAAAATCTATCTTCTGTTTAATGATCTACCTCTACACAGTATACACTCTACAGTCTACACACATTATGAAAATAATATAAATCAAATTATTAAATTTCAGAATTTAACATAATTGCTTTAAGTTTGTCATATTTATATAATTTTTAAGATTAGAATAAAAAAGAAAGCAGGCATTCTGACTTAATAATCGACAAACTGTATGTTTTAAATTGGTACTATAATGAAAAATATAACTTCACAGTTTTGGATATTGTATATATATATATATATATTATAACCTACCTAAACAATTTTTTTTCTTCAACATCCAAACATTTTAAATTTTCTTGTTGACAGAGACTTCTAGAATCAGCAAAACTAAATGGGAGTTGGTTATTGCAAAATTGTTTAGCGTTTGTAAATGATTCTTTTAGACCTTGGAAATAAGTGTGAATAGTATTATTTATTATAAATTAATATTAATAAGTACTTACTTAGAATATCGTTGTTACATGTTTTCTGGCCTGTATTATAAAATTGAAAGACATTTTCATCTCTACTAGTAACATTGCTATATAACCATTCATTTCTGATATTTTGACATAAAAGTTCACCAGTAGCACCATATTTTAAAAGGTCAATGGCATTATTGATTAATATTGGTTGCATATATGCATATGTTTTACATATGGACAAAATTCTATTGATTAAACTCATTTTAACATCACTATTAAATTTGTATTAATAAAAATGTAAATAATTTATGATGAAACCATATACAATTTAAACGATAGATAATAACATAATATATATATATATATATTAAATATTTTGTATTGTGATTTGTCTGAAATTTTGCTAATGCAATATTTTAAGAAATTATAATTTCAATTAAACTTTTTTATTTGCTGGAGCAACAAAATAATCTTCTTCCACAACCAATGCATTACACATGATATCTCTCCGTGTAGTTTTGTCTGATGATATATCTTTTCTTAAACCAGTGTTCCTGCAAATTATTATTTTTTAATTTAATTTAGAATGGAATTTTCAAAATTCATTATTTAAGTATTGCTTTATTATTTTGATCATGTTGTTTCAAAATAGAAGTTAAGTTACTAAACATAACTATTTAAAGTATAAATACACTTTGATAGCAATTAAATATACTAATAATATACTGTAATTTTTTTTATTGTTATATTGCTTCAACTATATAAATATTTTATAACCAGGTTAAAATGAGAGTTTATTTGTCTATTTAAGTAAAAAGTAAACATGTATTTTTTTGTTAACAAGGTTATTGTTGTAAGTTTTTATAGAAAGTTTTTTTATGGTAATTGATAGTTAAACAATAATGACCAACCAGTATTATTATATAATATATATTATGTAAATCATGTTCATAATTTTTTATAAGTTATTTACAGAATAATAATCTATAGATTAATTTCAAACACAAAATAATTAACTTAGTATATATATAGAATAAACACTAAAATCATACTAATATTTAGTTTAAAAAAAAAAAAATTAATGTATAATAAAAATTTGTAAATTTAGTACTATTCCTATTAATATTTACAATAATTTGCATTAGATATTATGAAATATAAAATATGTAAGATATTATTATTATTATTATCCAATGTTCATTTAGACATTCCAGAACGATTCAGAATATTATTGTCAGCTGGTGTACGGTAATTGGAATTAGACCAAGTTTTTTTTTTAGAAGTGTTCGAATTGTTGTTAGATGAATACCTTGGAGTTGATGCTGCTGATGGATTTCTTAAAGTTGATGATGGATTTTTAAAAGTTGACGATCCTAATGGAATTCGTGGAGCTAATTGATAAGGATGATTATTAGTAGTAGGATATCTCTTATGGCGACTGAAGGATTTATTTTGAAAATTTCTAAATTGGTTTTGTATAGATTCAACATTTTTCCACTTATTACGTCTATCAGTTGTATTAACATTTTCTGGACCCAAATTAGTAAATTGTGTGTGTTTTCCAGTAAATGAAGGTGACGTTGTTGGAATAGAGTTATTGAAATATGTGTTTAGTCGTTTAGAATTTATATCTTCATTTGAGTTTGAAGGAGAAACTTGTGCATCACATTGGAAACTATTTGTAGGAGTAAAATCTGCATTATTTGGTTCTTGTTTAATATCTTCATTTACTATCAGAGTGTTATGTGTATTTTGATGTAAATTTTTCTGTAATTTATTTAGTGGTTTTGGGGTAATCAAACTTTTTTTTCCTAATGCACTGTTCTTAAATGATAGCCAAAGATTTTTACGCTCATCAGGTGTCAATTGATCATCTACAGACTCAACAAGCATAGAATCATGTTCTTTTAAATTATTTATTTTTCCAAAATTATTCCTGATTAACTGGTTCAGTACTGGATCCTTGGTGTTAGGAAGTAAAGTGGAATAATGTTTTGATGGATCAAAAGTAAATAAGTCATTAGTTTGATCATATGATACTTTTCTACTCATATGCTGCAAATCTACAACACTCCTAGCCATTCCCAGTTTAGAAATTTGCCGATAATATGCTTTTGGCTCTACAGTTCCTTTAGCTAACAATCTGTTGACATAAACGGTTTTTTTCTGCCCAAATCTTAAACATCTATAAATAGCTTGTATATCGTTACTTGGATTCCACGATGTACTTAGTAATAATACTCTATTTGCACCTACCATATTATATCCTAGAACACTAGTACCCATAGATAATATAAAAAGTTTAGAGGGATTGTCAGGATTATTAAATGCTTCGCACATTTGATTTCGTATAGGCAATGGTGTTTTTCCATCCATTCTTAAATAATCATTTCCTAAAACCCAATTCAATTTTTTTTGTAAAAAATATTCTAAGGCATCTAAAGCTAATGGAGATTTTAAAAAACAAAGTACTTTTTCATTTTTTTTCTGGCACTCATCAATCACATTTAAAACATAAATTATTTTATTACTTTGTTTAGCTTCGAAAAATCTTGGATCATCTTTATAATCTAATATCCACATCAAATCCTTAGTAAATTTTTGATCAAATGAAGCAGTTCCAAACTCTGGTTGCTTGGTATTATAATGAATCAATCTGTATAATGTTAATGGATGTAGAGTTATTAATGTTAAGATGTGTAAACGTAAAAATACACTAGAACTATCATTAGATGTTTTATCATTATTTAAGAACTTCTGATATAATTCACATTGAAACTCAGTCATATTTACTTCTATTGTATATTCAATTTTTTCTGTAAATAAAGGTTTTAAATCTTGATCATCAATACGATGGACACAATATTCTAAAAGTTTATGTAAAATGAATGTACGTTGTTTCATAACTCTAACAGCTTCTTCACTAGATTCTAAAAATTGACCTGAATTAATTGGTTTTATAAATGTTGTAGTAAATTCTTTAAAATTTCCCAATATGTTAGGTTTAACAAAATCTACCATTGTGTAATATTCTTTAAGAGAATTTTGCATTGGAGTTCCAGTTAATACTATTCTTCTTTTTGTTCTGATTTGTGTTAAGCTTTTTAATAGTTTAGTGTTGGTATTCTTAATATAATGCCCTTCATCCAGAATAACAACATCTGGCCCAGGGTTGATTAAAGCATGAGAAAATGCTTCACTTAAATCATCTTGTTTACAATTAACTAATGACTTAAAGTTATCATAGCTAAGTATAAGAATTCCACCTTTAGATTGCCATGTAGCTATGTTTGTTATATTGTATAATTTATTTGTTTTAGGTAAATCATACACTTTGATCACTTCATGTTTGTCAATATCTTTTAACCACTTAAATATCTCATCCATCCAACTATAAATTAATCCAGGAGGACAAATTATTAAAAAGGTTTTTATATTAATTTGTCTATGGCAAAGTATTGTATACATTAAAACTATGATTTGCAACGATTTTCCTACGCCCATTCTATGTGCTAAAATACACCCTGTGCCATTTGTATTATTAGTCTTATCTATAGTTTCAAAAACTGTGTTCCACAAAAAACGAATACCTTCTATCTGATGTTTTTTTAAAACTTTTGCTAGGTCTTTATGAATCGTTAAAAAGGGTGTTTTGGAAACTGTATCAAATTCCAATACTATATTATGTCTCTGTAGATTTAATTGTGTTACTAATACCAACATTTCACGGTTACGTTCAATTAATCGTTTTCTTAAACTAAAGTCTGACTTTCTTGCTTCATATACAACTTCATCAGACACTATTTGCTTAATTTTTTTAGCTTTTGGTAAAGATGTTAAATGCTGTGATGAAACTGATGATATAGTATTATTAAATGAAGAAGCTGCTTCATTATCAAATAATAAAATATCTTTTATATCTGATCCTACTATATAATTTTCTATGTCTTGATCATCATTTTTAGGTTTAATTTTAGTTGAACTTATGTTGCTAGTCGTACCATTTGATTCTTCATCCTCATCATCTGATGATAATATAATAGTGTAATTACAACCAAATATATCTGTATTAGGACAGTCTTTTATTTCAGGTTTTATATCTATAGATGATGAATTTGGATGATTGTCGTTGTACATAGGAGAACTATTAACAATAGGTTCTTCTGAAACCATATTCGAATCACAAGGTATTAAATTATCTGTAGCTTTTTCATTTGTTACTTTCTGTGGCGTAAAGTTGCGTGCAAAATTTAAGAATGTAGATTCATTCACATTTAATTGATCAACTACATGAGATAAATTAATTGCAGTACTCTGGACTAAACCTTTAATTTTATAGTTAAGATTAATTGTTCCATAAGTATTTTTAAGGTCAACCTTATCATTATGCAGTTCATCCAATTTAGACATAAGCATTTTTATAATATTTGTAACATCAGTAATTGTATGTTTGTACTTATTAGAATACAAAATATATTCAAATGTTTGATTTAGTTCTGGATGTTTTGTCATTAATTCAAGAACATTTGTATCATTGCAATTAATATTCTCAACATTTTCTGGCGCAGCCTTTTTTTTTAAATTCATTTTTTTTGTAGTCCATTTTACTTTTTGTTTCTTTGGTGCTGCTGTATTTTTAGTTTTTGCCATATTTGAATCCAGGATCTACATTAAAAAAAAATTATCTTATAATAGTGACTTCAAGACAGATAATAATAATAATTTATTCTAGTTATGAGAAACATACTTAAATATTACAGAAAAATATAGAAAAATGAGAAATTGCTCTACACTAAGGTCTACCCTTATATTGTGGAACAATAAGTACTTATATTAATAACAAAATGGTACCTAATATTAATTTTTACAAATATTTACAAAAAAATAAAATAAATGATTAACATATACATTGAATATAACAAGAGTAAAATTAGGTTATTATTGGTGTTTAATAGAATAATATAACCTTATATAACATAAAGTAAGTAGATTAATAGAAGTAAATTGAGGATAAGAGGTGATTACAGTTGGTTTATAGTGAGTTGTCAGTATTTTTTAAATTTCAAATTTTGTTTGTAATAACCATTATCTAACAAACTTTTTAAAGTTTTCATATGATAAGCAATTCCACGATGCGCTGGGCATATTTTTTATAAGCCTTAGGCCTATTGGAATGAAGCATTTGTAATTATTTTTTCTTTACTACAATGATTATTAATTTTAACCTGCTGTTTTCGTTTGTGAAGATATGATTTAAACAATGAGAAAGATTTGTCAGTTATTTCTATGAAAGATACTTAGTACATATGTTGTGTGAAATGCTATCAAAGGTCTTACTATGGCCCATCAATACTCTTATAATTTTATTTTTTTTATCTATGCCTGAATATAGTTCTTTTGTTAAGTATGCTAGTGTATTTCGTAATAATATTTTTTCTGAAACCAAATTGTGTTATTGGAAGAATATCATTTTTCTCTAGATACGCCAGTAGCCTATTTTTTATTGATAAATAGAAAATTGTCATTATTACTTATTTAGTAACAGTTGCATCCTTAATAATTTTCTAAAAATCTCAATAGTATTTAACTACTGATAAATAAATGTAAATAATTAATTTTCTTTTTATCATTAAAAGAAGTCATCAGGTACCTGCAATTACTGTTTAAGTCTAACGCATGTGCTATACAAGCACATGAGATAAATGCTATCAAAATCACGTTAACTAAAACATAATTGCAGTGTTTATGGTTCAAATTGGTATGTAAACACAGATCCTAATAATATTTAAAGAGGAGACTATTTGTTATAATAGCTGATTTTATTTCTAAAATATTGCCAAACAAAAATGTGAGAAGCATGTTAATTTTTTATGTTTAAAATGGTTGTAACTTTTTCGTTTGAGATAGATAAGGAGAAATGTTCTTCCCTTGAAAATATTCTCTTTAATAGATTTTGTTATCATTTTTCTAATCTGTCTGATTCTACGGTATTTAATTTTGGGATTTAGCCAAGATTTCAAATAAAATCAGAATCAAAACCTCCCAAATGTCTTTACCAGATAATCCAATGCATGTATTCTAAGTACCAAATGATTTTTATCAGACTCTACATCCTGACTGTAATAAACATAGTCAAACATTGAACAAATGCTTCCATTTAAAAAGTCCAAACCATAAAAAGTTCACAAAATCCCCTCATTCGAGACCTCTCTTCCTATACTATCCCATGTGACCATGGTAGGCATTTGAAACATAAATGATGCTAAGACCCACTGGCTGAATAACTACAGACATCCATGTTATGAAATCATATTATTAAATAATATCTTTAATCAAACCAATCAAGCCTATTTACTAAAAACTTAAATCTAGTTAAATTTATAATTATTATTATTTTTTTTTATTTTTATGTTGTAAATAATATATTCATATACTTGTATCAAAAATATACTTATTATATAAATATCTATACTGATTGCACGATTCAAATTATTTGACAAAAAAAATTGTTTCGTTATATGTAAATAAACTCTAATTTCAATCTAAAAGCCATAATGTATGTTCTAAGTAATGTAACTTTGCTATGTTGCACGCATAGACTTACAAACTAGTTTATAGGTTTGTGGTTGCGCGTTAGTTAGGCTGAGACAGTAAATATGATTATAATATCTTATTTTTGTCAGTCAAACTTTTTTAATGTAGGTATACTACCTACCTACATAATTTTTTTCTCCCAAGTTAGATAGGTACAAGTGTTCATAAATTAAATGTATACAAATATAAAGTTAAAACCTTCTTAATAAAAACTTACCTATATAAGTTGATCATTAAATATTATATAGGCATATTTTCTGTATCCTGTTAAGGACTAAAGTATATTGTTTTATTAATATTCTGTATAGATTTTATTGTTTGTAGTTTAAACATAGTTTTATATTAATAAATAAATATATATATATATTGTTATTTACATACAAATAAAGTATCACAAATACATATGGGATAATTTAATGAGTGTTTAAAGGTTTTATATTTAAAATAATCAAACCATTGGGATACTGTGCATTTTATTTCTTATAGGTATTTGTTTATCACTAAAGGATTTATTTTCAAAAAAAATCAATATAAAATAAAAAATGATCAGTCAAAAATAGTATTATTAATTATACAAATAAAAATATTATGAATCCATTTTAGATATTCTACATTGAGCAGTTATAAATAACTGAAATGTATACATTTAGAAGAAACACATATTTTTATCAATTATATTGATTTATTTTGATCACGGGTTTTTTGATAATTATGTAGTATTGTTGTAACTTACCAAGTTTCTAGAACAGTAATAAGTGGTAGCACTTCAGTGGTTTTTATGTGTGTAATACAATCAGCAAACTTTACAGAAGCACTTAAAACTTCGAAACCACTTTGTTTTGAAAATCCAACTAGAGATACAGTTTCCAAACGTTTGGTCAAATTTTCGTCTAATAAAGCACTTTCGTTTGCAACACTACTTAACCACTTCGTTATGGGGTTAAAGTGATGAGTGTAATTGTTTGTCTTAAATATTGATTGTAATATTTTGTTTTTGTACATGATTTGAATACTATTTAATTATTGATTGCTCGTTTTTCCATGAAGTATAAAACTACAAAAAGTAGAGCAAAAATTGATTAATTTAAAAACTTAGATATACAATTTCTCAATAAGTTTATACAATAGGCATACAGAGACATAGTATGGTTTATACTACGGCTTAAGATAATATAAAATTGGCGTACATACCATAAAACTATCTAAACTATCTAAAACCGTGGTTATCATTCAGATATCAATCTTGGTTACCAAAAAGACGTTAAAACACCAGTCAAGGCCTTCACGTGATAATTTACAATTTGTTCATCATATGATTGATTATTGATACAATTTAAAATAGTTGAACCATAATCATTAAACCGTGGTGAATACATGATCTAGGGAAGCGTTCAGAAAAGTTACCCACTATTTCTGGGGAATTCCCCAGAGAAAGATTTCTCACTGCTGTCGGTGCAAACAGAAAAAATAAAAATCTAAATTACTAGACCTATTTACCTGAAGTTTTTATTTAGAATTTATTCCATAGATTTTAGACATGGGCATATTCTTCATCGCTTATCTCCACGTCGAGTATAACAACGTAAACAATTTTGATTTTAAAGGAAGCGATCTATTTCCAATTTATTAAAGCTATCGATGTATTCATAAAGAGATACTCCTTTCCATATAACTAAATTTAACGAACTTCTAAGAAATATTTTTGCAATTTTTGTAAGTTTGGTTTTGTCTTCAGCCAAGTTTTTCGCTAAATTACTCGGAGAACCTGCCATGAAACGGAAATTATCTAAAAAATTAATTGAAAATTTAGAAGAAATGTTTTTGCTAAATGAAATATACTTTTCTCTCGAATTTGTGATCATTTTAATATTATCGTTATCACATCCAAGTTCACAAACAATGAAATGAATATCATACGATAAATTATGAAAGTATATTGGAACAAACTTAGGAACTACTATTTCGCAATTACAGCTCATACATAATACTAATCTAAATATATATCTAAATGGTTATGATTTTTAAATGTATTATGCAATTCATGTTTTTAAACGATTACGCACATTTGAAAATGTCTGTATTTTTAAAACGAGCTTTCTCTTCCTCTGTTAATTTAGACACAAGAATATTTTTTTTTGTAATTTTTGCTGATTTTTTGTTTTAAATCTAACATGATTTTCATGCAATGATAACAGCATTTTTACCCCTGTATATAGTTAGTTTTGGTTTAATTTCGAAAAGTTTTCACTAGGTTAGGTTCGGTATATTATTAACTATTTTTACCTAATTGGTTTATGCCAGTGTGTTAACAGTTTTTCCGGCCAGTTGACATTTTATCAGTTTCAAAATCAGCATATAGCACTATTGGTACACGCTGTGTTCGTTTAAAATGTATGAACTCTATAAATGGAAAGTTGCAACCCTCGATTATAACAGGTCTGCCTAATTTGTTTTCTGACCCCAGAGTCAGTTTTAACATTTTTTATCTCCAAATACTGTGAAACAGCATTTATAAACAATTAATTTAGAACAGTGTTTTGATTTTTGGGAGCGAACAAGTCTCGGAAATTTTATAATAAAACAATATTATGATGTCTCTCCATTATCAATCAATAATAGTTCGAAATTATTTACATGAATTAGATAAATAAGCTTATCTTCATCTAACCTGTAAACATTTACCGTAACATCATTAATCTGTTCAAATTTTTGTATTTGTTAAATTGATATCGGGAAATCAATGCAATGGAAATTTAATTTAGATTTTCGTACTAAATTTTTAAAATAAGACTATTTATTAGTCTTATTAATAGATATTTATTTTTGTTAGCACAGTTATAGTAGTTCATTTTAATTGCATATTTAAAACAACAATTATGTCCATTTTGAAAATTTTTGACTGTCTTTTTTGAAACTATGTGAGCAGGTAGGAAAATATAGGTAGACCCCGTTAAAAGATTTACCTGGTTTATTTTCAATTGAAAACCATCGATGGATTGAAAGCTCTATCCGCTCACTTTGATTTTAAAGTCGGCTTCCTCAATTGAGTTCTGAATTCCATCATCAAAGATTGAATATGCACCTGATATTAAAGTTAGATTGACTTGATGGTAATTTGTGAATTCGAAGTCTATAATTATAATATTTTTTTGTCGACTCCTAAAAATAATGAATATAATATAAAATTGCTAAATGTTTTATATACATATTGTATTTTTAATAAATATTCCAGATAAAAATTTCATCATTTTTTTTACAGGTTAATTTGAAAAATTGTACTGACACAATTTTTTAGTCATTTAAAATTTAATACTAATAATTAAATACTAAAAAAACTCGCATGATTTGATAGTGAACATCTGGAACAATCGAGAGTTTCAATGTTTGGGTTCAGCCGTCAGTTATAAACATCTTGAACATCCACCAGAGTATGAACTAGGTACCTATAGACTAGAAGTATAATATTTTTGAATCTAAAAAGAGATCAAATTTTTGATTTTCACTTTTTTTCACCAACCATTTTAAACGAAAATAATTTAAATATTCCTCGATTTGATCAAAAGTCGAACTATAGAAGAGCTACAACCAACTTTGATTAGTGCAAATTCTCTCTGAAATTTCTTGAATCTTGATGTTAAACCAAGAATTAAGAAATTAAGATGTAGTCTAGTAAGTATATTTTAATTTGTGTTTTGATCCTAAGTGACCTAACCTTCTAGATGTTGATTTTTGTTTAAATCATAGTTGGTACCTATGGAATTCCGGTAACATTTTTATTATTACTTATGTTTCTTATCAGTTATCGGTAAAGATAGTGTTTATCATCTTCGTATAATTTTACCACGGTTTAAAAGATGTACTGTCAACATTACTGATTTTACTGTAAATATTTTTTCGATTAAAGACAACACTGATGATAACATTACCATGGCACTAATGTAGAACAAACCGGTGGATTTGAAATGTTTGATCAATGGCCACGGTTATTGCATTTCTCGATTACCTTTTTCTTGTTTATGTTTTTGATTTTTAATTTTGCGTATGAGTAATTTGTGAACTCGAAAATGATGGGTGACAATTTCAATGAGTGTGATAAATATTTCAAGCTTTTACTAAGCGAAAACAGAAAAGTAAGAAAACAAAACTTGGACGAATTGATGACAATCGTAAGCGAAAAAAAGTTCGAAGAGTCTTCAGAGTTTGTGGCGAGTGTCAAAACTTTTGTATACCCATGTTTAAATGATACATCAGAAGCATGTCGTGAATCAGCTATACAATTAGTAAGAAGTTTGGTATGCAGTGGTCATGTTGACGACATAGTACCTATTGTATTTATCATACACAAGCGTATGGGCAATGTAACGGTGACAGAAAGCTCTGAAGAAATAAAACTTTTGTATGTCCAATTGTTAAGGGATATCATTAAAAATACTAAACAGTCAATTTTGCCATGTTTGGACGATTTAATTAGTATTCTGACAAAAAGTATATTAGACCCTTGTCCTGAAGTGAAGAAAAATAGTTGTCTATGTGCAATGGAACTTGCTAGTACTACTAAAACACATTTTCATATGGTAGCTGAATCTCTTGTTGAACCTATTTTGAAAACATCAAATTATCATCAATCAACTATTAGATATACAGCAATTCAATCACTGAGTATAATTTAGTTTTAATTTCAACTATGCTATAATATACATTTAATATATACATTTTTTTTTTCTTTTAGATTATGTAATCATGTATAGTAATGGAAAACAAGTTGTAGAGGTATGTGATACTCTCAGTGAACGACTTTTTGATCAAAATGTTGGAGTGCGATTAGCTCTATACCGCGTTGTTGCTAATTGGATGTTAAATCTACATGATAGATATTCATATTTTCCTAAACTTGTGCCATTGATTTTGACAGCGTATGTTTTTATTTTTTAAAAAAAATGTATGTTTTATTTATGTTGTATTTATTGTAGTCAAGTTGATGAACATCAACCAAACCGTGAAGAAGCTGAACGACTTTGGGATGAAATTGGAAGTCAATACATTAATGAGAATGAAGTACAACTCAAAGAAAAACTTGATTTTTTACCTGAATATCTAGATCATTATCCTCCCGATGGTTAGTAATATTTATGGATTTAAAACTATTTGAAATGTAATATACTGATGAACAATTTTTAATAAATAATATGAAATGTATACATTTTAGTTAAAAGACCAAATTTAGGTTGCCGCACATTAGTTACTCGAGAAGTATTAAAGCTACTCCCAGTTATAATACGTGAACTTGATGATTGGGCAAGTATTGTTTGTTTATTAATTTTTCATGTATAATTAACTAATTATAACAAAAACTATAGAAAGAAGATGTGAGTATTAAATCAGGTCAGCTGTTATGTGTAGTTGCTTTAAATGCTGAGAATTCTATTATTCAACACTTGAATCAATTACTGACTGCCATGACTAAATGTTGTTATCAACCAAACCATGTAGCATCAGTTCATGTAAGATTTTTTAAAACATTGATGAATCAAAAGGTGAATGAACATTCTGGTTGATATTATATATATTTTAGGTTCGCAAAGCTGCTGAGATTATGAGTTATTTTATATCCCCAGATACTTATTTGAAATTTTTATTACCAGCAATGAGTGATACTGAACCACATCTTGGTCATATGAATGTTTTATCAGGATTATTAAAAAATGTTAAACCAGATGAGTTATCCACTCATGTTCAATCTATTATTACTTTATTTGTGAAACCAGAAATATGTGAAGTATATGATCCACTATTCAAAAAATATTTGCTTCAAGTAATAGAGTATATGTTAATTGCGTGTAAATTAGAATGTCAAGAATTTTCTTATGAATTATTTAAAATTTATATCACTGTAAAAAGTACAATGTTGGATCAATTTGAAGACAATTGTTAGTATTATTTGAATAACATTTTAATCATAATAAATAATTAACTCGGAGACTAATGATCAGGGTTATGAATTTAATGCACTGAATGAAAGTCATTTTCTGATCCCTCTATTGAAGTTCTACCTATTCTAGTATTCTAAGATGTTTGTTTCATGGTGGGATTTTTAATTTTCATTAACTGGTGGGTATGAATTTTAGATCCTGAGTAGAGCGAATAAGCTTATGGTTTTACAATGATGTTTATTATTATTATTATTTTTCCATTTCTAAGTATTATTTTGTGGTTAAAGAGAGAGTTGTAAAGTATAATTTATGATGCTCCATTACTCGTTTCCTGTCTATGGGTGACAGAAATGACACATTTCAACTATGATATACTATGATGTAACTATAGATGACAAATGTCATCTATTTATAAAATTTGTATTATAGATTGGTATTTGAAAATCAAAATGTGGTAGTAGTTTATCTGGTTCACCCCCAGATATAAGATTGAAAAATATAAGGGCGAAATAACATTTTAGATTATTCAATTGCAAAACATGTTTACGTCGGTCGTTTTATAAAAAATAAGTATTTCATTGAGAACTTGAGTGTAACATGAAATGTAGAAAACCATTGTCCATTGTACAAGTTTATTAAAAAATAATAACATTTTACTTTTATCAGAATTGAAGTTATTCAAATAGTTCATCAAATAAATATTTTTAAATCCTATTTAATCCATTTTGTATGACTTGCATACAAAAAATATGTTGCCCTATGGGAAGGCCTCTGATAGAGGTAGGATATATTGAGTAATTTAATCTATACACATACATATATACATATAAAAATATGTTTATATTTTATAGAAAATATAAGAAACATTCAGCTTTACGATTTTACATTAAATTATTTTTTTGTCATTCTAATTTTTGGGGATAAAACGGCTACCTTCTTTTGATTTTCAAGTAGAACCTATATTAAAAATTCCATAAATAGATGAAGTATGAGTTAAAATAAATTTTGGTGTTGAAATTTTTAATTTCCATTGATCCATTGATGAGATATTTGATGGATTGATAACATTCATTCTCACTTTTTTTTTGAATCATAAAAACAACCTTACAGTAAATAAAATTTAAAATTTCTATAGATAAAAAATCATCATTAATGTTATGAATATTAGAAATTGCCAAAAAAATTTCATATTTATATAACCATTTTCATCTGAATTCCAACAAGGTTAAATGTCTAATAAGTTTATGGATAAATATTATTTTGAACACATGGTATTTAAAAAAAAAAAAAAATCAGTTTTCAAATATAGGTAATATTTTAACCCCTAAATGAAAAACCGAAGAAGAAAAAATCTGTTCTAAGATAATGAAGTTGTCCCCATTCCCCAAAAAAAGCATGGACTTATTTCACACGTGAGTGCAGCCACTTTTATAGTTGAGAAGTTGGGAAAGTAATAGAGGGGAAATTTAATGTGTATCTGTAAGCAACGATTAACCATTGCTAATGAAAAGTTTCTGATCACAATTTATTTAATATTGTTTCTTGTCAGCAATATATATATATGTATATTTGACATATTAAGATAAAATAATTACATATATTTTTTAATAATATTTGTCTAATATTGTACCTATTTTCCCATTTTTTTCTTAATTTATCCCAATTTTTCTCATTTATTATGAAAACAGCTGGGTAAATCAAGTGACTTCTTTATAGTATCATCTCAGTAAAATTTTCTTTCAAAAAAAGTGCTATACTTGAAAACTGGAGCAAAATTGCTGATAGAAAATTTTTTCACAGATAAAAAATAAATAAACATCATTGTAAACCAATGTATTCCTCGTTCCGTTCAGAATCTAAAATAATGGTAACTGTTATTGAGTTACTTGCTGTTTTTTTGATTATTAGGAAATTTAAAGGAAAATCAAAAAATGACTACAAGATTTCTTGTAAAAAAGAGTTGTTTACATACAGAAAAAATTAGAAAGCATATATTATGATAAATCCAATAAATTTCTTGTTCTGCTTAGGATTCAAAACTGGAATATATTATATAGTTTGTAACATTGTCAAAATGTATAATTTGTGTTTATTTGTTTTGTTTATAGTGGAATTAATTTTTATTTTTAGTTATATTTAAAGAATTGATCAATATGTGTGAACCACAAACCAAAGAGCAACTTTTTAAAATGAACGGTGAAAAATTGTTAAATGAACTTAATGACAGTTGTGATATGTGGACAGTGCATTCGCCTGGGAGAAAAGTTCTTGATAAAATTTCAAGAGATGCTGGTGATTAATATTATAAAAATATTATAAAATGTTTATGTGTACACAGTGACACCAGTTCCATAAAATAACTATTAACAATGGTTTTGGAATACCTAAATCATACAATAAACTTGCAATACTATTTTTATTTATTTATTGAAAATAATTTAATTAATAATCAATAAACTTATGAACATATTAATTGCCCAGTAATGCTTAACTACTCGTTTGCCTATTTTATGTACCTACTGTTTACCTATATAATATAAATAACTTTTTTTTTCAGAATATGTGATTTTAAGCTGCTATGAAATATATCGACAAATCCTTGTAAAAACTTTACAAAACTTTGAAAAAGATCCTAAATTTTTAATGAAAATGATGATTAATATAAATACATGTGTGGATAAAAACATTTTTGTTGATAAACAACTTTGGCAAATCTTATCTGGTAAATTTCATTTAATATGAAAAAAAAAATAGTAATAATGTTAAATGTGTTATATTAAATTGTGTTCTAGGTATTATATTTCCAGTTCAAACATGGAGACCTGGTAAAACTGCTGAAAGTTTGCGAGCTGCTTCATGTCTATGTGCACAAAATATAATTAATAAGTTTACTTCTTTTAATGACATAATTTTAAAACAAGTAAATTTAATTTCTTTTTTGATTTATTGTAAATAGTTAAAATTATGATTGTTGTTCTAGAGTATTCCAATATTTTTGGCACTAGCAGATGATAATCATAGTAAAACTCGTGAGTATGCATTAGACGCATTAAATACTTTAGTTTATGCTGCGAAAAAGTTAGATAAAATTGATGCTGACACAATAAATAACATTACCAGAGGTATAATATTATTTTATATGTTTTATTATTATAAATCATACAAATTGTTATGAATAATGTAAACATTTAGTTGCTCTAGCTCGTTTAAATGATAATCCTGGAAGTACTCGCTTCAAAGCTATAAATCTGATCAAAGTTACATATACTGAACCTCTTCCTAATGATTATATGGTGCATTATGAAGCTCATATTACTCAACTGTATAAAACCATAGTGATATTTTTAGATGATGAGGATTTACAAAAATTAGTATTAGGTAATAATTGAAATTAATTATTATTATTATTAAATTGTATGGATATATATATATATATAAAATTCTAATCAGTATCAATCTATTAAAAAGTTGAATTATTTTTTCCATGTGTTTATCTTTAGATTTACTAAAAGAACTTTCCTGGATGAAACCTGAAGATCTTATTAAACATATTAATGTTAATGTGTTTTCACATAAACACTACGCTCAAAATTTAATGGATTATTTGTCAGACAAAATTAGTCAAATTGCACTCGTGTCAAAATAATTTGTTCTAAAATATTTCTTGTGTGGTATTATATATTTATTTACATAGTTATTATTTTTATATTTATACTTATGTTTTGCAGAAACACATTTTAAATTTTAATTAATAATTAATATTTATTTTGATTAGGTTATGAAATGAAATTTAAGTATCAAAACCCATAAAATTTAACTGTTAAAACATGTATATTAACCAAATAAATGTACATTGATAAAAATAATGTTTTTAAAACTTCATTGAAATATTTTATCTTAATTATATTATCATTAGCTTTCTTGTCTTGTTCCTCCAAACTCATACTCTGTTTTACTTCTATTTATCCCTAGTCTTATTTTTGTAAGTGGTATTCTCCATTCTTCAAGCTTATGTTAATTTCTTCCAGATTTTCTCTAATTAAAACTATACCATCTGCTAACAACATGCACCATGGTACCTCCTTCACATGTTGTCCCTGTGTACATCTGAGATGGAATAGTCACTGGTTCACCAATAATAATCACCAAAATTTTGCTTAGAACTGCTCATACTCTTTAACAGAATTTAACACCAGCTGTCAGTCTGATGCAATCTCATTTGTCTTCACTTACGACAGACAGAGAAATCATAGGACAATTCTGTTTTCTTCTCAGAAAAAAGAATGTTAATGTAAACTATAATATGAATTCATCCACCCTTCAGAAATAATACCATATGTCATTTAGAATCACCCACCAAGGCTTTTCACTAGTAAAACCTCGTGGGTTTCAGGTATGCTAAATCTGTAACATATGCTCCAATGAGTTAAGGATTGGGTAGTATTTAAGATGCAATTGTATCTTATAATGCGTTACAGTTCTAGAAAGTTTTAAGTATCTTATATTGTAATATTTAAAATATATGTCTATTTGGTATAAATACTAATTTTGTAGTACTTTAGCAGTGATGTATTTAGTCCCTCCTTATGAAGAGAGTACAAAATGTACATTGAAAATTCCTTTAAAAAAAGCTCGGGAAAAAATCAGCCAGTACAAATGTTTTAATGTCTTAACTAATATGTGTACCTTATAGAGCATTTAAATTCATAAGCCATCAAGATAACTTTTGAAATATTGACACAACACACAATTGAAATAATGGGTATAGTTAATGTGGTACCTATATTACTTTAATACAATCTTAAACCTTGAGGTTGTTTAGTTGAAGCACAGAATAGATGAAATTATTGAAGGTAGTGAAGTCCCGAAGTGTGGCTCGTGATATTCTGTGACTGTAGATAACCGCTCCTTAGGTGATGCTCTTCTAGTCTTCTTGGGTTGTACGATTCTCAACTCAACACTGTGCCACGTTCCTATTTTGATGCTCAGAACATGCCAAAAACCTTTGTTAGCATTTTGCAGTCTACCACTGACCTATAGTATCATGTTAATTCAATATGATAATCTTAAATACTTTGAATACACCATTCTCTTTTGCACTTTATCTCAAGGTTAAAAAGCCAAACTATTGATCATACCGCAATACCTATTTATGAAACTCAATGTCTTTTTGTAAATAGTTGACAAACCAAGTTTTTGTACTTTTTTGCGAGTTGACTGCCATAAATGTTAAAAATATCAATTTATTATGATGTGGTCTCCAAAAATATTCTTAGGTGCATTTATTATAGCTACCTAATTCAAAATCAAAATGTAAAAATCTTGGATCTGCATGTTTTACAATATTTTAGTAAGTATTAAACATTTTCTCATAAATAACTTTATTTTGGCGTTCAAGAATAGAATACTTAGTTGTAGCAAATCCTTCCTTATTTTTAAAATCTAGGTACCCAGTAGTGTACCTGGAGAGGGAGGTCATATAATTATATGTGACAATTTTGTTTGACAAACCAGTTCATTATTGGATATGATACAAATAATACTGATAAAGTATTAAAGATTAAAAATAATATTTTACATTAAGAGACAGCAAAATGATTGATGCATTGTAGATAAAAACTGAATAGCAAAATTGCTATTTTGGAAGTCAAGAATAATTAGAAAAAAAATGAAGGTAATTAAGTTATATTAAATAGTATAAGAAGTTTTTAAAATTGAATAATGAGTAAAGTACATATAATATTTTTTCTCTTATACTTTTAGTTGAATACTATTGACTGTGATGTCATTAAATGTATTTCAGAATGTAGTAGAATATATATTAAATATTTATATATTTTGTTATATGTGAATGAAATAATTTTTCTTAATATCAAAAAATTGCTAGGTGTAATATCCGCTGAACGATCCTCTACTCTAAGACTGTAAAATTGTTTCTTGTAATACCTATTTTTTAGTTTAATATTTGTATTCTATTATGTTTTATAAGTTTTCAAAATATTTGTAGGACTCAATATTATTTTTAAAAAGTAATTGAATACTTACTGCTTTTATACTATCTACTACTTCAATGTGTTAGTTTAAAAAAAAAGTTCTTTAAGGCTAAATATTTACAGAGTATATTATTATTTATTAAAATACAATTAATAATCTACATAATTGGCATTGGCTTATAAATCTAAGTAGTACCACCTACCTGTTTTTTAATTATTAATTTTTACTATTTGCTTTATGCTTGTTTTGTATACATATCATGGTTACTCTCAAAAATGGGCCAGGATCGCTTATGTGGGCTTGCACTGTATCATATATACCAAGAACTAAGTAAACCAGTGGATAAAATTATTGAACGATATTTTAGTTAAGTATGAATTAAAAAAAATTGAAGATTTTGAAGTTCCATTTTATAGTTTATTCTTCTGAACATTTTCATGTTTCAACTTTTATTTTCATAAAATTTGTGATTTTTAATCAATTTTTTTAAATTCAGAGAATATTAATCATAATAATAGTTAGGTATGTTATATTAATTATTATTCTGATTACACATAGTTAGGCAGCAGGCTGTAATCAAATTTTCTAATTTACTATTATTACTATGGGTAATTTTACTGTATACTTTTTTTCTCTGAATTTTAAATTTCTTTTAAAGGAAACCATGAATTTAATGAAAATAAAATGTAGAAACGTCAAAATTGTTCAAACTATAAAGTAGCTATCTTCAATTTTTTTTCAAAAAAACATAACAATTTAATTCAAATAGAAATATTTCTAGTGCTTATCAATGTGAGTATTATATAAAAAAAAAAAATAGAATTTGATTATCTTTATTATCTCCGGAGATATTACAATAGGTGTATCTTCATGGGACATTGTAAAATGATTTTACTTAATGTTAATTTATAAATATTATGTTAATAGAAAACTCATTACAGCATTTTATCAACTGGAATTATTATGAACAATTAGTTGTTTATAACATATTATAATTTTAAGTCTTATATCTATACATATCGAATATGTAATGTAATGCAAAAATAGTGTACATAAAAACAATTTTAGGACTCTAATTATTTAAGTAAACCCAAAACGTACTTTATCTAAATATAATTACATACATACAATACATGCTTGTTAATATAGTATTAATATAATAATATAATTCAATATATATTATATTAATACTGAATAAAAGAACTTATTTCTAGTTACTCCTATGGAATAATAAAACGATAATTATAATTTTTTTTAAGATTACATTAAAATATATTTTTAGATTGATTTTGATATTTAATATGGTTTTAAATAATTCTGTTAAAAAAAAAAATTATCATTGGAATCTAAAAATTCAAAATTAAAACACACTTAACTAAAAAAATAAATGGAATTATTAAAAATTTTACATTTTATTTCACACAAATTTTGTTTTCTTCTTATAATAATGGATTACCCTGAAAAAAAAAATACATATATTTATAATACTTGTGTATATTTTTTAAATATTATTAACAAAATATTATACCCATTCTCGAGCCATTATTAAAACTGTATGTTGATTTAATCTTGGTCCAACTAGAGGATTCATTTGAGCCATATAACAACAAAGCCAACTAAAAAAAATATTAATTATTGAAATACATACATGAAAAATTATTAAAATTTAAATGATAAAACAAAAGTAGCTATATTACTAGATTAATATTATGTTTTAAGCAAAACTAACAATATGTTACATACTACTATAATATTGTTTTCTAATTTGATACTTCAATAAATATTTACAACAATTTTAAAAACATATATTAAATTAAATATAAATTTTATATAGATACAAATTGTTTACATTAAATTAAGGTCATGGTTTATAAAAATATTTACTTGTTTAAGAACATAATATTGTGTCACTATTCTTCTAAAACTGTTTATTTTAGAAATAAATTACTACCTTTATAAGAATGATTCAAAACGAATACAAAAGTGCTAGAAAATAACTGTCCAGGTCCTTGTAATGTGTTCTAACTCAAACTGTCAATTTCAAAATTTAATTTTAATCAATCTCTGTTAGGCATTTCATTAGTATAACAATTTAATAAATTTTAAACTGATTGTGAACAATATGATAAACAATACAGTTGGTAGGAATTTATACATTTTTATTGAAAAAACATTTAAACTTTTTAAAAAGAAAACTGTAAATTTGCAATAGTAAAAGTAAATACTATTTTCTTTTAGTCAATATATCGTATATACCTTGATTGACTTAATTGCCAATCTACCTTGTTTTAGTTTCTGAGTGAAGCAAGCAAGGCTTTACTAAGATGTGTATTTTTTTTTATGTGTTGACAAATTTTCTACCAGAAATCTTGATCCTATTAAAAACTTTTTTGTAATATTTTTAATTTAATTAGAGGTCATTTTTTTATTTTAAAAGTTAATAAATCGAAAAAACAAGAACATTTTTTAATTTCTAGGTTAATTTAGCATAAAGAGAACAAATATTGTGCTCTGAATTGTTTTTTAGTAAGCAAAGGTTTATAGTTGTATACAGAAAAAAAAATTAAATTACTTTATAAAAAGTGGTACACCCTTCAGCTGTAACAGCTTTGTTATATTTATTAATGGAAGATTAAAAAAATAAATACAAATAAAACTATTTAAGTAAATTTAAGAGATCTACCAATAATATCAGGATAAATTAAAATTATACTCACAATAGATAACAAGTAGCTGCTGTCATCATTAAAACAAGTTGTTGTACACTAGAAAAAATTAATAAATCCTCAAATATTAAATAATTAAATCAATTAAACTAAATAAATATCTTTGTTAATATAATTGACCACCAATAAATTTACCCTCGATCTGGTCCTTTGGGAATGATAAACGGTAACACAATGCCGACCACACCCCAGAAAGCGGTAAAAATTAAAACTGGTAAAGCTGAAGCTCCCATGACTACAGATCTAAAAATAAAAACAATAATCAATAGGAATAATAATTACAATGATACAATTTTTGTTTATAGATGAAGTCGAAAACAATAAATATTTAAATTACATATTATATTATTTATTCTAAAATAAAGAGTTTTTTCAGACATCACAGTAATTGACGGTTGTAATCAATTATAACACAACATTTGATAGTGATACTTACAGGAATGAATAAAATTAACTTATCCAGTTAATAATGCGGCTTTAAATTGTGTCAGGTGACGATCCTTTATAAATGTGTAAAACCTAAAAAGGTACGAAATTTCAGAAAATTTTAATATTATAGATAATAATCAACGCCTTATTTTTCTCCTTATCAATATCACTAATCCAGCTGATAAAAGGAAAATATGTTTTCTAATATCCTTGAAGTCTAGTACATTAACAGCTGGTGATCAACTTATAATTTCACGGTAGATAATCGACCGTGGCAGTTGTTCAAAAATGATAATATTTTGTTAGTTCAGAAAAACATCACTAAAATCGTTGCGGTTTTTGATTGCCTTCCCCTCCCCTTAGGTATTCTCAGTCGAAAAACTCGACCTCACCGCTACTACTTGCTTGCCATTTCGTTACCAGTCGTCCAGTCCACGTTAACTTATCCTTGCTTTCAAGTTTCAATAACGTTTTCCATGTAGACATTCTACAAAAGTTAAACAATTGTATTGGTTAGATACATCTTCTAGTTTTTATAATTTATAGTAATACCAATTACAATATACGTGTGTATATTGTGGACTGGGTATATTTTGTATAGGTATGTAATATTATATTATGCCTAAATAATGTTTATTCGTACGTAAAATAATACGTTCAAGACTTTTTTTGTTTATTCCCATTTTTCAGATTCGGGACTAGCAATATAATTGTATTAATATTTTAGCAATTTTATGAAAACAAAATTTGAATTCAACAACTTTCAACGTTTCATTATTCGCTTTTCATAAAGTTCATTTTTATTAAAGTGAAAAAAAATACATACGTAGCAATTCAAGTATTCCGGGAACTTTTTGATCCCACTACGTATCTTACAAATTTTTACCAGTTTCTCAACTACAAATTTTTAATAATATACTTTTTTTAATGGTACACATTTTTACTTATAGATTTTTATCTAGTTAATTGTTAATAATACATTTTCCAATTATAAACAAAAAAACAGCAAAATCAATATTTTTAACCATAACAATTTTGAAAACAATTTTATTACCAGTCCTAAGTCTGAAAATGGGAAGGACAATATTGAGTTTGTAAAAAAAGTCTTAGAGACGTAATTTACGTGTGAATAAAAAATATTTAGACATGTATACAAAGCATACTCGGGTCGCAATTTATATAAAAAATGGACGCAGGGTTAGATCGGGAGGGGGGGGCTTAAAGGGCCCCGGGTCGCAAGTTGAAAGGCGCCACACAACGTGTATTTTTGTCGAGGAATTTTTTTTTTTCTGCTTATTGGTCTTGTTAGTCCCGGGCCCCCTTGACCCATAATCCGGCCCTGATGGGACGCAATTTACAGCGACCCCTTTTGTCCGAGCCCTTGTAACAACCGGCACCGGCGCTGAATGTAGGTAGGTACAATAATAAATTTACATATTATGTCAATAATAGTAACAAAATTAATATTACATTACCGGTGTGCGTTATTTGCCAAAAAGTTTTTACAAATGAAGCTATGAAACCGTCAAGACTGCAAGAACATTTAATAAAAGTTCATGCTCAAAAAAAAAAACCGGATTCGTTTTCTTCTAGCAAAACGCCAACATTAATCTAGTTGGGATACCTTTTTTTTGTTTATGCTTGTACAATATACATTATACAATATTACAATGAATCGTACATTTATATTTTATAAACAATAAATTAACTTTTAATTGCAAATTTTTGTGCCAATGCATTTTTCTTTAAGGATGGCGTCTGTCAGATTTTATTTTTCAAGTGGGCGGTAAAGTTTAAAACTTTGGGAACCACTGGTGTAGAGGACACGATAAAATGTTCCGTCTGCCGTACCCTACGGGGTTTAAACCGTCTCTTTCTACACGAAAGTTGTGCCAAACATACACATTTATATACGGTACCTACAAACTTTTTGGTAAAATCTCTTCGTTATAAAACACATTTTAAATCAAATTTGTTAGTAGGTACATTCGTTAACGTAAACGAATTTTCGACAAATGCATTGTGCAATGAAGTCGTATAAAAATATACCTACGCCTTACGTAGGTATTTTAGACCGTTCAAAAAATACGGTCTTGCACGTTCATTTTAAGCATATAGGTACCTGTTATTTAATACGTTTTCCACTTAATTTGGTAGATACGTCAACATTTTCTTGATACGCAGAGCCGTTGAGCGATGACTGAAAGCGTGTAGTATATAAAAGCAAACACATAAACACTCGATACTTATGAAGTCATTTCCCGACATTTGATCGGCTTTGTGGAATGTGCACTACCAACAAATTTAAAAACAAGTATAATATTTGTTCTATCTAGATTATATTATTACAATTTACAACTATCCAATATAAATAATTGTATATCATACTGGTAATAATGTGTAACTGTGTAATATTTTATTGATAACAATTAAATAAACAATATTTAAAATAATGGCGATTTTTCGGAGAAATTATGCTTTTGCGGATAAAAATGTATAGTTAATACAATTTAAAATTATGCAAATTTTTCATGCATATCTATAACAGTAAACAAACAGGTATGTTCTGAGTATACCGCATATTGGGAAATAACCCTTAGTTAGTTTAGTTTAGTGTACATATTAAGTACCTATAACGGAAGACAATATTTCGATAATCACTGTAAAAAAAAAATAACAGTATTGGTTATTTTAAACATTTTTTTTTTTTTTTTATAATTATATTTATATGTATTTTCAAATCATTGCAATATTTTGACGGCAAGGAGTACACCATGATCAAACATATTTTTACCGTTACGGTTAAGGTAATATATTTATTCAAACACCTATCTATTACATACAATTTAAGAATCTCGAGTTCGGTATACTCCTATTCGAATTGATATGTGCAAATAGGAGATAGTACTGTAAATGTAACAAATTTAAAACAAAACGACCCAATTAAAGTTCAAGTTCGTTGGTGAAAACGTGAACTTAATTCAAAACAATTTGATTTAAATAGAATATTATGAACTTATTCATGTTTTCCGTTCACGCATGTTGAACTTTGAACCGGCGAATTTATTAGAATTCGTTTATTTCAGAGTCTGGCATATAACACATACAATAATATACTATAAAAGCAAAGGTTAATTTAATACTGCAATTTTTTTTTTATTATTTCTATTCTATTAATAAATACAAATTTTATAACTTACATATTATAATATTTTATTTTTATATGTGTATATATATATATTTATTATAGACACCGGCTCGATTTTGAAGCCAAAAACATTTGATTCCACAATTTTATTAGAAATGTGTAACATACAATAATAATTGTTATTATACGATTAGACATACATAATGATATATATAATATAGAACCTATAAACTAATATTTTAAACATATAAATATCATACAAACAAATAAATAATTATGACTAGATTTGTATTATGACAAGAATCAATAATTTTATTTTTTTCTTCTATCTTATTCACAAACTAAAATACGCTTGTATATATATATATATAAATATATATATGTATATGTATATATAAATCTTTGCATATGTGTGTGTGTGTGTGTGTAAGTTATACGGACGTACGATAGGTTAGGTTAGGTAAATTTTATGTTTTATTTATATTTTTAACTTTTTTTTTACTAACTGTCTACGGTCTATATATATAAACGCTGTTGAGCAACTTTTGTTTATGCGGTACAGAGGAACTATAATTAAGGAAAATGTTTGTCTGCTTGAAATAAATATCATCACAGCCAATTTGTACTCAGCAACAAACTTCGGTCTGCATTTATTATGTTTGGAACATTGGAATCAAGGGGACTGCAGTTTTTAAATGCGAAATTGATCACCGATTAAAATGATCTTAATCGATTGTCGGCGAACGTAAACATAAAGCGTTACTTATGTAGAAAAAAAAAATAAATATTCAAATCACCTATATATATATATATATATATAGGTATACGAATTAGTTTTAAACATATAATATATTATACACAATTTCGGATAAAATCAACTAATTTTTTTTAAAAAAAAAAAAAAAACAAATTATTTATGATTATACGATAATAAAAAAAAAGAAAAAAAGAAAAACAACAATCGATTTTCAATCGGGAGACAAAATTAATAATAATAAAACGACGGCGATAGTGACGACGATGGTGGAATAGGTAGTATTTTTGAGTTGAACACGCGGTTTCGCGAACGGAAATAAACCGAAAACGCTAAAAAAAACAACAACAACAAAAAAAAAAAAACCACCTACACAATACAGAAAGGAGATTCGTACGGAGACAGATATTCGCGTGGGGTGGTGAACTCGGGGAGCGGCAAAAAAAAAAAAAAAAAAAAATCACAGACAAATTAATAATAATACTAATACGACGATCGTGTAATAGTACTGGAACCGGTTGCGCGTGGGGAAAACGAAAAAATAAAACGCAAACACGGTGGACAGACGGTTGACGCCCCGGAGAAAATACGGTTTGTACACGAAACGCGGTATCAATTGATATGTCGCCGTCGCCAGTATGTGGCGCATGAACGCCGTAACGGACGAACGGTCGTCCGTATCTCAGCCGTCCGACATCGGGTGGCTGACGTTGTAGACGATGGCGAACACCGTGCAGATGGCGTACACGCCCAGCGCGAACCACCAGATGAGCTGCTCGTGGAGTTTCTGCTCGAAGTTCTTGAGCACCAGCAGGCCTATGGTGAGGCCGGCCATCGCGCCGGCTATGTGGGCCACGTAGCTGACGGGCGCGGCGGTGGACGACGGCTCGAACGCGTACCGGCAGTACACCGCGAAACCGACGTCTGCGCTGGCTGCGAACCAAAAAGAAAAAAAAAAAACGAAAACGGTTAATTATTTCGTTATTGTTATTAATCGTGTACAACACACGATAATAACGGTAACAAAACGGATACGCATAATAAATTGTATAATATACGACGGCGGAGGCGTTGAGAAAACGAGTTTATCGCACTAATACAGCAAGGGCGCCTACAAATGGGGTGGCAGGGGGGACAACTACCTCCCTAGCTTTCCAGCGAGTCGAAATAATTATCACCAAACTGAATATCTCAAAATCCCAAAATTCATTATTATACTCCACGCCACGAGAG